CAAGCAAGCAAGCAAGCAAGCAAGCAAGCAGGCAAGCAAGCAAATCGCGCGGAGTCTCCAAGCGGCCTCGGCTACGCATCTAAGCCTCGGACAGCCACTTCGGACTCTGAAGGGGTGGCCAGCCACCTACGGTTGTCTCATGCGCCTTGCGGCGTGCTGCACGATCCCGCACGGCGAGCACTGGCCCTGGCCTGCGACCTCCAGGGCGCACAATCCCATGAGGGGCAGGCCGATGGGCGCGATGCCCACGTCTGGATCACTGCATCAAAATTGTTAACACCTGGAGGGCACAAGGAGAACAACACGCCACGGCCCCCCCGCAGCGCAAGAGGGAGAAGGGGGAGAGGGCCAGCCAAGCGGGCAGAGCCAGCGAAGCAGCGCGCAAAGCGAGGAGCCGACCAACGCCCCCGAGAACAAGCCACAAACAAGGGAGGGAGGAAATTCCGTACAAAACGGCAGTTTTGCACGGACCCCCCTCTCCTTTTCTTTGGCCCGCCCGCGGAGACGAGGAAACGAGGAAGAAAGAAAGGAGAGGCGCAGCCCGCGCAGGCAAAGCGCGCGCAGCACAGCAACAACACGGGGGGCCTTTCAAGTTCGCGCACCTCCACCGTAACGGTTTTGACGGCCGACCGCTGCGACAGAACACGAAAAGTGCACCAGTCAAAACTGGCAGCCAAAACTCTAGCGACCTTTGCCCCTTCCCTTTCCCTTGCGAGCAGAGGAGGGCCTCGCGGGGGGAAGGGTGGTGATGGGAACGTGGGGCAGGTCGGGGTGCTCGTAAGGCCGCACCTGCCCCGTCGCCCCGGCGGCAACCCCAGCCGAAACTATGCCGCGCGCCACCAGCGCAGCCAGCCTCTCACCCGACGCCAGAAACCGCGAGCCCACGCCGTGCCCTCGCCCTTGCCCTTGCCCTGCAGAAGGCGGCTGAGCCCCCTCTCCAAGGAGGGCTTCGCGGAGCCGCTCCCGTCCACCCAGTGCCGCCTGCTCTCGAGCAGAGGGAGTGGATGGGCGCGTGCAGGTCGTCGGCGGCACCATGCGAGCGGTTGAAGGCCCACGTGAAGTGCGCCATCTTCGCCACGCCCTCCTGCGGCTTGTGGACCTTCAACTTGAACATGCGCACCAACTGGCCCATTTCCGTGAGTTCCAGCTTCGAGGCCCCCGACAAAGTCCTACGAACCGTGTCCTGCGTCTCCTCGTCCGCGTACGCCACCTGGCCCGTTGACGGGAACGACATCATGATGTAGAGGTGAAGGCTGCCCCGCGACTTCCAGCCGACCTCATCCCCGTTTTTCACGGCCTGGCGAAGCTCCTTGCTGCGGTCGCCGTACGCCTTGCCAGCCTTGGGGCTCGCCTCCACCAGGGGGCAGTCCGCAGGCACCATCATCCTGTCGTACACCGTCGCCGTGACCTCGGCCAGCTCGCGAGAGCTGGTGAGGGCCAGGCGCGCCAACGCCGTGACCAGAGCCGCGGCGTTGTTGCCCCTGGCGACTCCCCGTGCCGCCGCCGAAGCTCCTGCCCCGTCCGCCGATGCCGCCGTCGCCGCCTCGGCGTCGGCCCCGTGGTTGTCCTCGCCTTTCGCGCTGCTTGCGCGGATTCAAAACCGCGGTCAACCAAGGAGGAAGGGTAACATCCGCTTGGGCCGCACGATGCTCTGGCAGCGCGGCGCTGGAACTGGAGGGCCGCTGAGCTGGAGACTACCACTGGTAGGTGCTGAGCAACCCGGTGGCTACACAGGGAGCCCAAGCCCCCACACCCATCAGAGCACAAGCGACAGGTATAGCCACGGGGTTGAAGAAGAGGCGCGAGTGTTCGACATCCTTGGGGCGGACAACGGCCCCTCCGCATCGAAGTAAGTAGGTGTCGTCCAGCGCACCATCTATCTCGGAATGTGTGCATGCAGCAGATACATACATTGGTAGGAGCCAATACTGCTGCCACATTGCGCTCATGATGTGCTCAACGAAGGTGGTTAAGTAGTTGTTGACGCGTGTAGAATGCTTCATCACACCCAGGTTCAGAACATATGCAAAAGAAGGGGCGTGGACCTTGGGGGTGCCGATCGGGACTAGCTTCCCGACGGGGAAATTGGGGGTTGACCCAACCCTCAGGCCGAGGCGGTCCAGCCGGCGGAATCGCCACCGCGAACGCCCGCCCCCTAATCCTCGTGACATCGACAGCCCGAAGGTCCTCGCAGGCCTCTAGGCCGGAGAACAGGCGAACGTCCGACGCGAAGTCATCGAGCGTCCCCTCATCCAAGATACGTCCGGCCAAGTCAAGATCCGCGACAACCTGCCGAGTCCACGGAGAGGCCCACCTGGTAAGCTGGACGTTCCTGGTGGGGGGCCTGTCAGAGTCGATATTCAGGGTGCCGAGCAGCGCGATGAGAACCTGCGAGGAGCCCTCGGGGTCCTTGGTCCACTCTTGGCACAGACGAAGGCGGCGGATGTGCATCCCCTCCCTCGCTCCTATCATCCCCCAGTGCTTGAGAATGTCCTGTGTGCTCATGCTATGGGCGCGGTCCCCCTCCCGGTCTGTGGCGCTCCCCCTCATCACTATCTTGGCCAAACCAGCCAGGCAAGAATCCAGGATGTCATAGTCCCTGGGAGTCAACACGAAGGGATCCAGGCAGGAGAGGAGGGTGTTCTGAGGAAAACCGACCAGGAGCGAACGTTTGCATCGTCGGAACAACGGTAACGACCAAACCCCGCCCAGCGAGAAGAACGTCTGACGGGCTACCGCGCAGCGGCGCTCGACCTCGTTATGTCCAGTCCTCCGAAGCGTAAGGTAGGGCCCCAGGTAACGCGCCTCCTCCACTGGGCGACCCGCGAGCCCAAAGGAACCAGCTGACTTCGTACGACGTTTGAAATAATGGGGCCCACAACCAGCGAAGAAAAAGAGAAACTCCTGCTTGCTCACATTCTGTGCGAGGCCGTACCACTCAAGGGCCACATTCAGCTCACGGTCGATGTCAGAAAGTTTTCGAAGGAAACCAGTGAACGAGATACCACTCTCAGCCAGGCAGATGTTGTTCAAGTCGTCCGGAGATTGGAGGAGAGAGGGAGGTCGGCCCGAAGCTCGCCCCACTCCCCCCAGAGGACCGTCGCCATCGGATCACTGTGCACGAGAGCCCTCCCCCAATGCACCATCGGCAAAGCGAACGTCTGCAAGAACGTGTTCACTACGAACCGGTCTCCCATCACTCCTCCCTCCCCCGTCTTGACGACCATCTCCCTGTCTTCCCCCTGCATCGTAATAGTAGACAAACGATATCGTTGATAAGAAAGCTCGGTATCCTCTGGACGGGTATGTAATTGCATACTAAGATCCATCGAACTCCAAGGTGTGATTGCCAAGAGGAGGAGGAAGAAGAGGAGGAAGAGGAGGATCTACCTTCAATGCAGTGAGGTCGCCTCCAAAGCCCAGCCTGAGAGAATGGAATAGAGAATAGGAGGATGCTGCAGCACGCGTCTACAGGCCAAACATCTGAAAGGGAGAGTAGGAGGGAGAATGAGGGGAAGGAGGGGGGGAAGGATGAGAACAAAGGGAATGACGAGGAGGAGGAGGACGGAACACCTCCGATAACCTCCGAAAGCCTTGGGACGCTCGATATTTTGAGGGGCGGGACACACCGCGCGGATCTGCGCCGGCGCCGCCTGCCGACGCCCCCGGAGGAGCTCCCGACGCGGGCTGTGCACAGCTGCTCCGGGCGCGCGGCGACGCGGCTCGACTGAAGGCCTTACTGGGCCTGGCACCCGCCGGCGCGCCGAGGAGAGCCGCGCGCAGGCAGCCCCCCCGCACGACGGCAGCGGGAGCACCTGAGCACTGCTGCTCCGGGCGCGCGGCGACGCGGCTCGACAGAAGGCCTCAGCTGCTGGCCTGGCCCCCGCCGGCGCGCCGAGGAGAGCCGCGCGCAGGCAGCACCCTGGCACGACAGCAGCCGGGAGCACTCCGCGAGACCCCCGCAGGACGCGAGGGGGAGCCACACGGGGGGGGGCCGGCTCAGGGGGGGAGCATCGAGCTGGAGTCGCCGATGCACCGCCGACAGATCGGCGACAGGCCCCCAATAGCGATGCCGCGCGCTCCTGGGCGAAGCGGGCTATCGGTGCCCCTGTCGGCGGTCGATGGGCGACTGGGGGCCGGTTCGCCTCCCACTAGGCCTGGCCAAAAACATTGCCCCTGACCCTGCCCTGCCCTTCGTGGACCAGAAAACGAACGACACCACCCCACCTACGGCCCCAGGGGGCTTAAGATATACCAAGAAATCTGGCGCGGGCTTTCGCATGGTATACGCTATGGCGCCCGATGGGCCGTAGCGCAACCTGGAGGGCCGCAGGCGGGGTGGTGTCGTTCGAATTGTTGGTCGACTTCGGGTCGGACGGATGGGAGGGTAGCAAAGTTGGGATTGGCGAGTCGGCTCGCCCAGCTGATTCTCCCCGCGCCTCCCGGCGCCGGAGGCGCCAATGCTTCAGGGAAGGCGCCAGGCGGCGGGGCCGAAACCAGCTGAACACAGCAGGTCTCGCAGTCTCCCCGTTCGTACGGCCCGCCCTCCAGCGACCCCCCCCGATAGCAGCGAGGCCGAGGGGCTCAAAGGCGGTGCCCTGGCTCATGTGGCCGAGCCAACTGCAGCGCGGCCAAGGCCCTGCCGGACGGTCGGCTACACGCCAGTGGCCCTGGGCAAGAGTGACCTTCGGCGCGCGGACTACGGGGGCGCAAGGTGGCCAGATCCAAGCGCGCAAGCAGCCGCCATCGCACCGCGCTCGGCGATCGCGGGGACCCCAGTGAGCCCGCACCGAGAGCCGCTCTGGCGAAGTGGGTCACTCCTGCGTGCAGCCGAGACAGTCCGCTTGGCACGACGCTGGCCGCTGCGCCTCGGCGCAGCAGCAGCAGCAGCAGCAGCAGCAGCAGCAGCAGCAGCAGCAGCAGCAGCAGCAGCAGCAACAGCAGCAGCAGCAGCAGCAGCAGCAGCAGCGGGGGAGCTCCGCGAGACGGCCCGCTGGACGTCAGCCGCCCTGCCCCGCCCTCCTGCGGCCCCTCCAGGTGCCTCGCCCGGGTGCCGCCTCCGCGGCCTCGGGCCCCCTGGCCTCCGCGCGTGTCCCCTCCTGGGTGAGCACCGTCGAACCGATCCCTGTCCCTACCAGCCTGGCCTGAGCCCAGCTGGCCGATTTACCCCCCTGGATGGGGACATAGGCTGTTTGTCCCCTTCGGGCCTCGAGGGGCAGATCCCCAACTGGGGTGGTGGGCGGAGTGGGGATGGGCATGGGGATAGGGATCGGTTCAACGATGCTGACTGGGGAAACCAGCAGGTACCGATACCGCCACTCCCGAGACTTCGCCTGGAATGCGTTCTGACCAGAGTCTCGAGGCGAATCTGGGGCCGTGGTAGCGAGGGCCCGAAAAAGGTGAAAGCGAGGGAGGCAAGGGCGACGGCATCGGTACCTTTCCTGGGCTGACCTCGATCCCCTCCAGCGGCCCCTCCGCCGCCGCCGCGCCCTCGCCGCCCGCCGCGGCCTCGTCGCCCGCCGCGGGCCCGAGGCCCGCCGTCTCCTCGAGGGTGGCCTCCTCCAGCTCCGCCGCCTCCAGCAGGGCGCGGTGGAGCGCGGCGCCCGCCACCCGCTCTAGCTGGGCCACGTCGACGTCCTCCGCCTCGGCACGGGCGGCGCTGGGCTGGCTGCCCAGGGCGGCCTCGGCGCCGGGTGGGCAACCGTCCTGCGCCTTCTTCTCGAGCTTCTTGGCCGCGACCCACTCTGCCTGCTTGCGCGCGTCCTCGAGCCCCCTTTTCCCATGCTTCGCGACAGCGCCCCCGGTGCCGTCTGGGAATGAGCAAGTCTGAAGCATTGCCAGACGGCGCCGCCGCGAATCGAGACGTGGCCAGCCCCCTCCTCTCCCCGCCGCCCCCCCTCCCCCCCCTCCCCCGTCGCGCCCGCTATCGCCAGGGGGTTTAGACGAACTGTCTCCTCCTGGATCCACTGCGGGACGTTCTTGACCACCTTCGCGGCCAGGGCCCCCTTCTCCTCGGCGACGCGCTGGAAGCGCGCGAGCCGGCGCTGGGCCACGACCAGTTCCTTCTGGTTGGCCGCACCCTGCATCTCCCGCATGGCGTCGACCTCCTCCGCTGGCCGGGCCAGCTGCGAGGCGATGACCTCGGCGCTGCGGTCGGTCCTGGACTTCTGCGGCCGGGCCAATTCGCCCGCCTGCCTCTTCTTCTCCAGCAGCCGCAGGCGGTCGGCCTCCCGCACCAGCCAGTCCTGGAGGGGAGGGCAAAGAGGCACCGATGCCGCGACAGTATCGCCCAAGACGGTTCCAGACTTTCCTCCACAGACCTTTCCCCAGGCCAGGGGCGTTCCGATCCGAATTTCAAAGCGAACCCAGCCGTGGCGACGAGGGCCTCGCAGGAGGCCAAAAAGGCGAAGACGAGGGCATGGCAACAGCAGCGGTATCGGCAGCTTTGCCCCCTGGTTTTCGAGCCATCACTCGGCTCTCCGGCGGCCGTTCGGAGCGATCTGGGCACCCCCAGAACGCTCTCGGCGAGGCCTGCTGGAAAGCACCCCGAGGCTGGACAGCTGCCGAGGACCGGCGAAACCGTCCGAAAACCTGGGACACCGCTCGACTCTTTCCTCGGTGGCTTTTCCTCCTCGGAAGTCCGGGTACTGGACGCCAGGCTCGTGGCGCTCCGTCGAGCCGTCCGAGCGCACGTGCTCGACGCGGTGCCCGGCCCTGGCGAGCTCTTCGGCGGTCACCTGGCGGGCGTCGTCGCGCCAGAGCTCCTCGCGGCCGAGGAAGGCGGTACGCTTGCGCCTGCCCTGCCACGCCAGCTCGACGAGGGTGTGGCGGCCCTCACGCGCACAAGGCAGCTGTGCGCAACCCCGTGCCAGGCCAGGGCCATCCTGGGCCCTGGAGTGGTGTATGTGCCTACGCCCTCCGGGCCTCGGTCAGGAGAGGGTCCATACGCCATCCCAGACGGCACGGGACGGCCCAGGCCGGGCACGGTGGTGGTGGTGTACGGATGCCTTCTGCAGACCTCGTCGGACTGCACGTGCTCCAGGGTCCCATGCCAGAGGAAGGAACGGCGGCACGAGCACAGACGTTCTGAAGTCCGTGTGGCGTCCTCGGATCGGCGCTGGGCCCCGCTCCCCGGCGCGCGGAGCGAGCCAGGGGCGGCGTCGGAGGCGCCGCCACGGGGGTCCTCCGCGCCGAGCCGAGGAATAGAATCGCGGACCCTCGAGAGTCTGCGTTGACGCCGCTTTTCCATCTTCGACATACGCCGACTCCCTGCCGATGGGCATGGACTTGAAGAAGATGCCCCGTGCGCGGCACTGCGCGCGCAGGCTGGCGACGGAGAAGCGCTGGTGGCGGGAGTACAGCTCCCCTCTGCTGTCCGTCTGCCGGGTGTCGTAGAGCACGCGGACGGAGTGGCACTGGAGCATCTCCCAGAAGTCCCTCTCGGGCATGTCGCCATGGCCAACCGAGTAGAGCGTGGCGGGCTCCATCCTGTCGAGCTCCAGGTGCTCGCGGGAGAAGGGGGAGTGCATGAGGTCACCATGGCCATTCCACCTGCCCAGCTCCGAAACCCCTGGATCCAAATATGGGGATGTCTCGCTGTTGCTCCCGTCGACCTTCCGCTGGCGGGCCCGCCGCCGTTCTGCTTGCACCGGCCTTCCTCTCGGTCGCGTCACCCCCTGCTGCGTGAGGCTCGGGAGGCTTCGTGAAGGGCCAGCTGAAAGCCTACCACATTCGCGGCGCCACCGGATCTGTCATCGATGGACCAGGAAAAGAACGACACCACCCCACCTACGGCCCCCGGGGGCTTACCGTATACCAGGAAATCTGGCGTGGATTTTGCGTGGTATACGCTACGGCGCCCAATAGGCCGTAGCGCAACATGGAGGGCCGTAGGTGGGGTGGTGTCGTTTGTTTTGTTGCCGAACATGTGTCACCCGACCCCTCCCGGGGTCCAAACGCACTAGTTTCCTGAGCTGCGTCCAGCCATGGCGACGAGAATGCCCCAACTGCCGCTGCCTCGACTCGCCCTCCCCTGATTCTGGGAGCGCCCGTCATGAAAAGTCGCGACTGGAGCCCAAGACTCCGTATCTCTGCTGCATTTCTCGAGCCGGATTGATCTGCGATAGCCCCGGGGCCCGACACCCAGACACCCAGTGCAAACGACGTGCAGCGCCCAGATCTCAGGACTTTCTGGCGCGCCCCACCTGGCGGGTTCCGGAAGCCCTGAACCCCAAAGATGCTGCCATCTCTCGGGGGCGCATGTTTTACTTCCGCCGGCCTTCCGCCGGCGGATCCAGCCCCAGTTTACTTCCTCTGCGGACTTCAGTCGCCTTCCGCCGAGGAAGAGGATGGCAACCGCGAGGCCTTTCCTGGGACGCCTCACCTCTCGGCGTCCTCCTGCGTGAGCGCGGCGTCGTATTCGCCGAACTGCGCCGCGAGCAGCGCCGGGTCCGCGGCGCGCGCCGCCTCCCGGGAGGGGCATCGACTGCACGCAAGCACCGATCCTGGCCAGGCCCGTCCTGGGCCCAGGATCGCTGTGCACGCCCGATCCCAGGCTTGGGCGGAAGGGCACATCTGCACCGATCCCTGGCCCGCATCGGCCTGGCCAAAAGCGGCGTGGGGCACAGCCAACCCGTGTGATGTGTATATATGTACATATACATACATATATGTATTATATATATATATATATATATATATATATATCCGCCGGCCCCCTTGTGGGGCCACCAGGCTGTAGGCGCGTGATTCGCAGTTTCCTGTACCAGTCGTAGGTTGTAGTTTCCAGTGTTACAGTTCTGCTTCTTGCTGGTTACTGTAACTAGTTGAGTTATTGCTGGTTACTGTAACTAGTTGATTGACCGCGCGAGGGGGGGGGAGGCCCAAACAAGATTTTCCAGCGTCCCCTGGGCGCGTTGTCTGAATTGCTGGGGGGGCTCGAAATCGACACCCCTCACGCAGATCCGCGGGGTCAGGGTCCAAAAACACATGGGATTTGCCACATTTCTGAAATTCGGTGCCACCCCTCACGCAGATCCGCGGGGTCAGGGTCCAAAAACACAGGGGATTTGCCACATTTCTGAAATTCGGTGCCACCCCTCACGCAGATCCGCGGGGTCAGGGTCCAAAAACACATGGGATTTGCCACATTTCTGAAATTCGGTGCCACCCCTCACGCAGATCCGCGGGGTCAGGGTCCAAAAACACAGGGATTTGCCACATTTCTGAAATTCGAACCCATCACGCACATCCATCGCAAGGCGTGGTAACCCAAACTGCGAGAACTCCCTCGGCCCTTTCATCGCAAGGTGTGGTAACCAAGCCCTTAAACCATACACGTCTTACCAATCGCCAGGTGTGGTAACCCCTCTTGTGATCAGTTGGTTTTGCTGATTGCGACTCGGCTTCGCATGAAGTTTCGATACTGCTTCACGACAGCGCCAAGGCCTCATGACTTAGCTCTTCCATGGCCCATTCTCCGAGAGAGGGGGCCGGCGGCAGGGGGCGAAGCCCTCACGGATATATACTTATATGTATGTATATATAAAAATATATATAGATATGATTATATATACCTATGTATATCGATGTATCCATATCCTTAAGGACCCGCGAGAAGGATGCAAGGGCCTTGGAGGGCCATGTCGACACTTTGCGACCGAGGCGCGGCCTGCGAAAGCGGCCACGGATGGACCGAAGAGGAAGGATGCAAGGGTAGACCTATGTTGTTCCCACCCTACTGAAGGACCACATCCCAGAAATAATTTCGAGCACCCGGAGAAGTGTCAAAAGAGTGTCGAAACAGTGTCGAGACAGTGTCGGACAAGTGTCTCCCAGGGCCCGACGCGTGAACACCCTTGAGCTTCGGTACTTGTTTCTGGCACTCGAAATTCTTTCTGGTGATCAAGGCTAAAGTAGGTTGGAACCTCATAAGGGTAGACTTATGTCGGTCCTGTCCCCGTACAGGCCGATTTCGAGCGAAAAATAAAACAAATACCCCAACAATGCGCAAAAATGCTCAAAACATAGTCTCCAGACTATTTATGGCCTATTTTTGAACATCCCCCCTGTAGAGGGACGGGCCCGACAGAAGGGCGGACTTGGAAAGTCGTGCAGGTGGTGCCCTCCGATCCTCCATCTCGTCCAGCTGCAGCGCGAGCGCCACGACCTCTCGGGCGGGCTGCCGGAGGCGCCCCCCGCCCAGGGGGTGTCCCCAGGGCCTCCGGGGACCGAAGGCTGGGCGAGGGCTGCTACAGCCTGTGTCTGCTAAAACGGCCCTCCCGGAAGGAAAACACAGCTTCCCGGAGTGAGGCGCGGCACGCGAAACAGTCAACGGGCTTCTTCCCGGAAGGACGAAGACAACTTCCCGGAGGTCGATTTCAGCAGCCACGGATCTAGCAGCCCTTGCCCGGCTTCCGAAAGGAGGCCCCCACGCGGCCTCCAGAGCACCCCCGCACGAGGCCCTGATGGCTCAGCGAGTCCAACGCGGTGAGGCATTGGATAACGGATACGAGGAACTCGGGATCTGAAAACCTGGTGGAGCACCGACTGAGGCTTGGCCACGGCTATCACCGCTGCCATCATCAGATTAGATATTTTTGAAGGCCTGAAGCCATGCCAGACACATTCCTTCACGAACGCCCACCCCGTATTATAGACCGAGAAGCCGGGGACACCTCCGGTCAGGGGTGCCTTTAGCAGGCCTCCGACGTCTTGATTTTCGAACGACGTGGATACCCAGAGGTCCCGACCCTTTCCCCGGGACCCGTTTTTCATCCTGAGTCGTCATTTTGAAGGTCCTGGGACCAGGCGAGGGCCCCCAAGAGCCCGAACATAGCGGAAAACCTCCCGTCGCGTTTTTTCATGACTCGAGGGGCTCTGGGAACCTCGGCGTCGGACATCTCGCCCGCGGCGGGGCCGCCGCCAGGGCCCTCCGACTGCAGCCGCACCGCCAGGGCCTCGTCGGAGCAGCCCACGGAGCTGCCGCACTCGTGGGAGGACGCAGCCGACGACGGCGCGGCCGTGGAGGACTCGCCCGAGGGCGCCGAGCAGCTCGCGGAGCTGCTGCAGCTCGTCCCCGCGGGCACCCCGCCAGGCTGCGCCACGGGGTGCCTTGGGTGCGAGAACAGCGCCTGTGCACCGTACCAAGTCGGGACTCCCCATCAGGACCCGCTCCAGCGCAGGACGGTGCGTAGGTCTTCGGTTCGGGGAGACGAAAGACGCCCAGAAACGCGTCTGCCGAAGTTGGGCCGACCTCCGCCAGCTTCTGCCCGCGTGCCGTCCGTGGCCAGGGGCAGATCTCGGGGGGGGGGGCCCTCCCAGATCCCCCAGGGAAACACACACAACAGAACCGCTCCACGAGGTCGTGGGAAAACGATGCACCGTATCACTCCTAGGCCGAGGATCGACAACGCCTAGGAAGACGCCAATGCGGCACGGTGCACACAGGTCGTCTGCGGATTGGGAGGGCAAGGAAGGCCCTGATGTCCTCGCGCTGCGACAAAAAAACACGACGTGAAGGCTTTGAGCTATGTTCGGTCTCTGGAGGCTCACCGGGCCCTGGGGCAATAACAAATTATCCTGGCGAAGGACCCAACCAGATGCAGTTGCGAGTACCGCAATTGTGAGTATCTTCTTCGATGACGCTCCCTATGGGGCCACGAAACGTGTGAGGGGTGTGCCGAAATCTGTGCGGTGGGCGCATGGGAGCGCAGCCACTGGGGCCTTCGCTGGAGCTCCCTATGGGGCCACGATCCTCGTGAGGGGTGTGCCGAAATGGGCGCGGTGGGCGCATGGGAGCGCAGCCACTGGGGCCTTCGCTGGAGCTCCCCATGGGGCCACGAAACGTGTGAGGGGTGTGCCGAAATGGGTGCGGGGCGCATGGGAGCGCAGCCACTGGGGCCTTCGCTGGAGCTCCCTATGGGGCCACGAAACGTGTGAGGGGTGTGCCGAAATGGGTGCGGTGGGCGCATGGGAGCGCAGCCACTGGGGCCTTCGCTGGAGCTCCCTATGGGGCCACGAAACGTGTGAGGGGTGTGCCGAAATGGGTGCGGGGGCGCATGGGAGCGCAGCCACTGGGGCCTTCGCTGGAGCTCCCTATGGGGCCACGAAGCGTGTGAGGGTGTGCCGAAATGGGTGCGGGGGCGCATGGGAGCGCAGCCACTGGGGCCTTCGCTGGAGCTCCCTATGGGGCCACGAAACGTGTGAGGGGTGTGCCGAAATGGGCGCGGTGGGCGCATGGGAGCGCAGCCACTGGGGCCTTCGCTGGAGCTCCCTATGGGGCCACGAAACGTGTGAGGGGTGTGCCGAGTGCGGTGGGCGCATGGGAGCGCAGCCACTGGGGCCTTCGCTGGAGATCCCCATGGGACCACGAAACGTGTGATGGGTGTGCCGAAATGGGTGGGGCCTTCGCTGGAGCTGGGGCATGGGTGCGCAGCCACTGGGGCCTTCGCTGGAGCTCCCTATGGGGCCACGAAACGTATGAGGGGTGTGCCGAAATGGGTGCGGTGGGCGCATGGGAGCGCAGCCACTGGGGCCTTCGCTGGAGCTCCCTATGGGGCCACGATCCTCGTGAGGGGTGTGCCGAAATGGCCCGAGGCCGCCATGCGAACCCTGCCACTAGGGCCTTCGGTGGAGCTCCCTATGGGACTACGAAACGCTGTGCTGGGTGGGTGAAACGCAAGGAGGGGGAGGAGGAGAGGAGGAGAGGAGACGCGGGCCACCGTCTCTTCAAAACGAGGACCCAACACCACAGGATGGTTGGGAACTAGATGCGGGATGAAGCATCTGTCCTGGGGCAGGTGTCCAGACCTGCAGGGGCCTACGCTGAGCGAAACGCCCGATACCGATACCGCACCGCTAGCCGGCTGCACGCAGGAGTGGCCCTGGGACCCTGGGCGAGAGTGGCCTCTGGTGCGCGGCCCCAGGGGGGCCGCTGAAGGGCCAAACATAGCCAACCGCGCAAGAGAACGGTGTGGGGGGCCCCTGTGGGCCCGCCCCAGGGTGCACTCCGGCGAGGGATCACTCTTTGCGAGGCGGGGATTTATTCATATCCACCGCCTGCGACGTCCTGGTGCCCCAGCGGGCGGTGGATATGGATATATTTGGGCCCCCAGTGGCCCAAATATGTCCATATCCACCGCCTGTCGAGGTCCCCGAACATTGATCCTCCAGGCGGTGGTCATGTATAAATTTGGATAAATTCCCGCCTCGGATCTTCAACACAGCCGAGCTATGTACTCCCTGGGCCTATCCCAGGGGGCGTGTGACCAGGGCTCCCCAGGACGAGCAACGGCATTGGTGTATCTCTTCCTCGCCCGACGCCTGTTGCGGAACCGGCCAAGCCGCGTCGGCAGCTGCTCCTCCCCCATCACGTCATAGGAAACTAACAAGTACAGATACCCCTACTCTAATGACCTCTCCTGGGGTACGTTCTGACCATAATTTCGAGGCGAAGCCAGCAGTGGCGACGAGGGGTCTCCAGGAGGCCCCGAGAAGCGAAAACATGGAAAAGTAGCGGTATCGGCGGTTCGCGTGGTGATGGCCTTGGCGCTGCTCTCCGCCATCGCGTGACTCGTTCCACCTTTCACGATCAGCGGCTGTCAACTGCCAGATCCTCCCATGCTGGCCGACTCTGGGCCACCGGCGGCTTTCAACTTTGAACGCCCGCGGCGGGGTCGCCACCGCATCGGCACTGCACGAACCTACCCCACCTTGTCCTCTTCTGACGAGGGCCTCCAGAACTCTGGACCACGTATTTAGAACTCTGGACCACGTATTTAGAACTCTGGACCACGTATTTAGAACTCTGGACCACGTAGAAGTGTCAGCTTGAATCGAAGAGCCATTGCATAAACAGATCGTCGAGGAACTTGTCTGCTTGAATCGCCGAGGAGCCCCCTTTCCAGACCACGTATTCAGAACCGCTCTTTCGCCCTGGGTCGCTTTTGTTGACCGCCCCAGGGCCCCGCGAGGGCACCCAGGGCGCCGAAAACATCGGAGACGACACCGAAAACATCGTAGGCCAAGGGAGGTGGGCGATCCGGGAGAAGTGGGCTCCGCCCTCCCAGCGGAGTTGTGTAACCCCTGAGCCACGCGGGGAAATAGTAACCTACTGAGAAGCTGGTTTAGGCTTGATCTGATCCACCCTGGCATCCATTGATAGCTCCCCTTTCTTCCCTCACGATCGGAAATTTGTGGATGGCGTGTCGCAAAGGCGGCCCCGGCAAGACGGGATGCCTTGGGACTGGCTAGCGCGTCGTTCCGCTCCGCGGTCTGGGAGGAGAGAGGCTCGGGACGCTGACGCTTGGGAGCCGCGACGTGGATAGCGCGGCGGGCCTGAACCGGCGGAGAGACACGCTATCCCAAAGCTCCCGACGCAACCCCCACATCCCCTCAGCACCCCCCGCGCCCATCTTAGTTGGAGATCGGGGCGCCTCCCGTACCACATCCGCGGAGGAGGGCGAGGAGGAAATGGAGGTGGAGAAGGAGGAGGAGGTGGTGGAGGTGGAGGAGGCGGAGCAGGAGGAGGGGGAGGAGGAGGATGACGGGGACGAGGAGGTGGAGAAGGAAGGCGGGGAGGAGGAGCAGGAGGAGGAGGAGGACGGGGAGGAGAAGGTGGATGAGGAGGAGGGTGGACAGGAGCACGAGACGAGAAGAGGGCAAAAGGTTCGGGGTCCTCGCGCGCGGGCGGCAGGCCGCGCGCCTCGGAGTCGAGGCAGTCGGGATCAGCCCGGTTGGCCTCGGGAGGAAAGGGTGGAGCGAACACGTGCGCAGTGGCGGGCGAGGACGCGTGCGCGGGAGCGAAACAGAGAGACCAGGCATCTGGGCCCCCAACGATCCTGGAACCTGAGCGTTTACGCAGACAGCTAAACATCATGAACTAAAAGACGAGTTAGCGTCTGTTCACTGGTCATTTGGGGAGCCTCGTAAGCAAAATTGTTGCTTGAACGAAAAAGCGCTCCATGCAGTATGGTGGCGAGGGAGAGAGGGGATGACAAGCAGCAGCGCCTCAAGAGCCGCAGGACAGTGCAGGCATTGGTCGGCGGAGCCGCCGAAAATGGCCCTGCACCCGAAGCGGCAGCACTGACCTTCCTGTCTGAAGCGTCTCGAGACCGGCCACGCATTGCATGCACGCTCGATCAAAGAAGTGGCGGCAAACGGGCCAGCTTCCTGCCTCAATATTCTGATATGCATGGACATGTGAACACTGGCCGCCTCAGTCGCATCAGGCCAGAAGTACAGAACATGCGGGTGAAACAAAAGCATGACCAGCACAAGGCCCCGACGCTTTCGCAACAACAGGTACATTTTTTGCGCACGTCGTGTTCAGCAGAATCATAGAGATGCGGCGCAAGGCTAGGCAACTCAAGCTGCACCCACCCTGAGCCATGTCCTAGCCACAGAATCGGCATCGCACTATCTATCTGAATCCCGGGGCCATGAGAAAATCATAATCGCATTCCGCGATATGGCGGAAGCGGTCGGCAATGCTGGGGAAGTCCGCGCTGCGGACGGCACGCCGAAAGATGGCCGCTCTGTTCTCAATCATGGTGTCTCTGGGCACCGCGTCAAAACCAAGCGCGATGTTCTTCCTGCAGCGCCGTCTGAATAGAATGGTGCGGCACCGACGTCAGTCTCTGCAACGCGGTGCGTGTTCGGAGTTGGCCACTCGGCAGTCCGCCCTGTGGAACTGGCTGAGTAGGACAGCACAGGGTGGGCCAGCATTTTGCAGGCACGGATGCACTGCACAATGAAAATCTGCAGAGCGCTGACATCCAAGACACGCTCCAACAGCTTGCGGCAAGGAACACGCCAAGACACATCCCGTCTGCCGGGGCCGAGGTACACGCCCGAGCACGTAATGTTCTGACTGACCTGCACACCAGCAATTTCAACATTACAATCGCGAAAATATTGCACCACCGACGCCAGATCCATCTCTTTAGCATTTGCCCGCGCGCAGACACAGCCCAGTCACGACGCGCGCATCATTCATCCATTAAGAATCACTGGAATGGGAAGGCGCAGACCTCCCGATGCAACGCCGACGTCGTCCGTGCATGCGAGGGGTTTCGCGGGGCGCGGGGGCAGACGCCGCTGAAGACCGCCCGCGACGGAGTCGACTACAATGACAGAAACGAGTGCAGAGAGGAGGGCACCCTTGTTGCAGGCCTCCAACAAGTGTAATGTCGACGCAAATGTCAGAATGGAACAGCTCCACGGCCTGAACAATGTGCCAAAATACACCCATCCCCACCAGGGCGCTGATGGTCCAGGGGCGTAGAATACTCGGAAACGCTACGGCGATGTCCAGGAACAGCACGGCGCGGAACTCGAGGCCACGGAAGCAGGCCCACTCCACGACCTAAGACTCCAAGTCAACCACGTGGTCGATTAGATGTCGTTGTTTGATGAACCCGCGCAGGCAGGGGCGACGGAGTGCCTGGCCTGGATCTGGAAGGGGTCGGGCAACGCCGAGGACCTCAATCCCTTCCCAGCGTTGCTCAGGGTCCAGGGCCCCCGTCGGACGAGCTCCTGAAACAGTCCTGGGGCGAGAACCGCCGAGGTCAACCCTTGGGCGGGAAAGCAAGCAGGCCGCCGTTGAACCCTGAAGGCAGAGGGCGGCGTTCCAGCGCAGCGCGGCAGCCCCTATACAAAGCAGACATGGCATGCCCCCCCCCTCCGATTCCACCCGCTACGACGCGCCCGCCCTGGCCCCGCAGCCGCGCCCGTGCGGGAGATCACGATCGAGGAGAACGCGTGCAACATCAACCCCCACTGGACCCCAGGAGAGACAGGTTGGAGCTCACCACCTGGGGTAGCAATCGCAGCAGGAACAGGCACAGGGAGCCTACTAGGACACCGGTGTCTTGCGCCCCAGAACTGAAAAAAGATCGCGGGCACTCGGTACATTGCTAACGGGCGTCTCGCCCCTGGAGTCCCCGACGACAAAAATAGCTAGCCTGCGTAGCTCCACCGACCACGATCGACGCAGAGCTAGAAACCGAGCGCGACGCGCTTCATCGACACGTCCCAGCGCTGTAACAAGTCCTTTGAGCGCGCGCAGATTGATGTGGAAGCCCGAGTAGCCCGTGGACCCCAAATCGTCGAAGCTACAGCATTGACTAAGGGTAGGCAGGGCATGCTTGCAGAGAAGCAGAGCGAAACAATTCCCGACGCGAAGGCGCGTAGAAGGAAAAGACAGGATGCATTTGTGTTCGCTACCAGCGCGGGGGCCAAAGCAGGGCACATCTGCTGAGCGAGCTCGCCCTCGGCAGCAAACGCGGCGGCCTTGCACTCCAGCGAGGCCTCGAAAGGATCTCTACTGAGCCCAACGTCCTGAAGAATCGTTTCCACAGTCGAACCGAACTTGGGATGCTCCGTGACCTAGCGAGGGAGAGCGGGAAGCGACGGAAGGCGAGTGTTCGCCTACGCGAGAATCGGCCCGCGGTCAGAACGCCCCGCCCGGTTGTGGGCCAGCCCGATTGGGCCCAACACGCGCCTTCCAGCCGAGGACTGCCGCCGCGGGGGCCGACCAGCAGCTGCGACCAACTCGACAGACACTGCGCACAACGTCGCACACATCACAGCGCAGCGCGCGGCCCCGGCCCGAAGGACCTCGACGAACTCCCCGAACGGGTCGGCAAGCTTACTGGACAAGTGGGCGCCTTCACGCGGGAGGGAAGCGCCGCCGTCGACCACCGCCGAAACCCTTCGGCCCCAGGAAAGATCTGGCCGCCAGCGAGACGAGCAAGGCCGGCAACCACCGCGGGAACAGGGCGCCTCCGACGACCGAGGACTCTGTGGGCAACGCGGATGCTTATCCCAGGAACAATATGAACAGTGGCCAAACCGACGCACCCAGATTCACCGAATAGCTCGCAAGCCAGAACACATCCCCGAGCCACCTCCAGAATCCGAGCTGCCCGGAACTGCTTCGGAAAGGCCCTCGAGATAGAGATGATCACGCCGCCAGCAGAGGGGGAGAGCAGAAGGTACCGAAATGAACGTGAGAGCAGAAGCCGCGACGAAGGGCAATCAAATCCTCGAACGTCCTGTGAATTTCCTGCGTGCTTTTGATCTGGTAGCGCTCGATCACCAACCGAAGCTTCCTACGCTAAGCAAAAGCACTGCCTGGCAACGCTTTCGTGTTCCACCAGGCCAACCCGAACGAATGGATGACATTCAAAGGGGGGCGATCAGCACTGTGAATTGGGGCATCACTGATGGAATATACAATCGAGAAGCGAGAGGAGGAAGGGGAAGGACGAGGAGGATGGGGGAGAGGCTGCAGCACACGCCTGGCCTTCACTGGACGAGCCCCCCCCGCTGCGCCCCAGGCTGGACGATCACTGTAGACCGAACCCTGCGTAGCAGGCCCAACTGGCGCCAGCTCCTGCCTGACGATTTCAGAACCGCTTGGGGACCAGCGAAGTCACGCGCTCGACGATGTTGTCGATACACTGACTCTCGAGGCGGATGGTCTCCATGTCGAAAAGAGGGGTGGGAACAACGGTGCCAAGCTCGCTCTCGTGCTCGGTGACCTTGGCCAGGTCCCAAACTTCCTCGTTGGCAGAGATGGACAGGTGGAGAGAGCCAAAGAACGGGTTGGATCCAAGCTACATCGAAAGCTTCTTAGTCTTCAGCTCGACGATGACAATCTGCCTTCACTGCCCCAGAGCAAAATCCCCGTGACAAATGGTCCCAGCCTGTGCGCAGCAAGATATCGACCTCGGGCCAATCCATGTGCGAAGCTTCGGGTCGGCACGGGCGGCAGCATGGAACATCTGCGCGTCCTCGTCGTCGAACTGAACGTTGCAACTGCACTTGCAGTCCTGGGGCTGCAAACGACACGTGAACGCACATTCAGGAGCCATGTTCGTCTTGACCACAAAGAAATGATTCTGGGACGTGGACATCATGAGCTTCCTGGGGAAGCCGCGAATCCACATCTTCTGGTTGCCGCGATGGTCATCATCAGCAGAATGCGGGCGCGCGCGGGGCTGCGCACGCGCACGGGATCCCCAAGATGACCAAGGATCGCTGGGGGACGAACCGTTACTGGAGGCAGCCGTGGACTCCATCTTCGACTCGAGCGGGGCCACACGAGCCGCGAGAGTGGACGATCAGCTTCTCCATATTCGACATCAGCACTGCCGTGGCCGTCGTCGTACAAAAAAGAGCGAGTGGCAGAAGCTTCCTGCACAGCCGCAATTAGGGCAGCCCATCAGTCCGCATCAGAACGAAGATCACGCACCAGATCTAGGCGCTTGACCGCAATCATGTTGCCCGACAACATGTTGCCGAGCTGCTTCATGCCAAGCTGAAGAGGCCGGAACATATCGGCGAGGAGCAATCGCGTGGACTCCTGATCCAGTGCCTTCTGGTGCACAGGAAAACGGAAGTAAACAATGACCGCGGACCAAGTGATGCGGTGCAGAACATATTTTGCTGCCGCGCGAGGGCTCGCAGCAAGGATCGTGTCTGTGTAGGTCGCTGTCGGCCAGGGACCCTAAGCCAGGCCTCACGGCTGCGACCAGGCTCTAACCGCCGAGGTCCCGCGGTCAGAACGTGAACCAAAATGGCTACGGAGGATGAGGAGGGCGGGAAGGAGAGTGCGGAGGAGGAGGATGAGGAGGAGGTGGAAGAGGTGGAGGAGGATGTGGAGAGGGAGGAGGAGGTGGAGGAGGACGGGCTCCTCCCCCGCCGCGTCCGTGGCGGGCCCGAGCCAGGCATCGCCCGCGGCGGCGCTCGACAGCAGCAGCGCCGCGGCGGCCCGCTCAACGTCGAGGCCGCTCACGCGAAGCGCGGCCTCGGCGTCCGCGCTGGAGAAGCCCAGCTCCTGGAGGGCCTGGACCTTGCCAGACGCCACCACCACCTGGGCGACTCTCGAGTGCGAGTTGGGCCCCCGACGCGGGCACAAACCACCAAATGTTTGTCGATCCCCAACAACAGACGTCGTCCAAAGCCGACAGCGGCCGCTGTCGGGCAGGTGGCCTCCTGTCTCACCTGGACGGCGTCTACGGCGACCACCTTGCGAGCATCGACCTTCCCAGACGCCACCACCACCTGGCCGACTCCGCAGGAAGAAAAACAAACATGCTCTCTCTCTCACACACGCTATTGGTAGCACGCACAAGGGGGTAGGGTGAGGGGGAACAACTTCTTAGAAGGCGGCTGCTTCTTAGAAGGCGCTGGCCCAAATTACCTCTGAAGACAAGGCCCGCGCCTAATGAGAAGCAGGGGTCCCTTTAGAAGCCTTCCCCCCTCCCCCTACCCCCCTCTGCGCGTGGCTGACACCAGGGAGGAGGATTGGGGAAGGGCAGGGAGATGCCGGCGCTGTAGGGAGCTCCGCCCCCGCGAGCCCTCTTCGCCGGCTCCACGCCGGAGGCGGGACAGGCGCGCCGAGGAGGCGAGGCACCCACCCTGGAGCGCCCAAGGACCTGCTGCTCGGCCGCAGCGCCGAGGTCCCCCTCGGCGATCATGCGCTGCAGCGGTCGCGACGGCGCCATGGTGTCTGGGTCCGTGATCGTCTGCCACATGCCCTGCTTCTGCATGCTGTCGGGGTAGAAGAATATCACGAAGGTGATGCGGCCTTCCTCGATTTCTGGCATCACCGGTACGCCGTGCCGCTGTGTGCCAAAGATGACGAGGTCGCCGTCCTGCATCAGCAGCGGGGTGTTGTCGATGGTCAGGATGCGCTCGCAGCCGAAGCTGAACAGCGCCGTCCAGCAATCGTGGCGATGGCTCAGGGCCCCGCAAACGGGGACTTGCGTAGACCAGGACATTGGCCCGCCCAAAAGAGAACTGCAGCCTTGAACCGAAAAATTCGCCACTCTTCGTTCCATCCGGCTGGCTCTGGTAAAGTCCTGGTTTGCAAAATCCTGTTTTCCAAGGCCCTGAATGGCTACCAAGGTAGCCCTTCCCGTCTGGGTACCAATTTGTCAGCACCCCCGACGTGCGATCGGCGATGCCGTACTCCGCGAAGAGCTTCTGCAGACACTTGTCCATCCCAGCCGACATTCCCTGCTTGTACCGCCCGGCCTGGTGGCCCTCCCACTTGATATTGCCACGTTGGTCGTATTTGAGGTGGAAAGCGCCGGTGGCGAAGTCGCGAGTGCGGGCGTTGGTGGCCTTCCACTCCGTATTCTGAAGGATGTCGTCGTAGATGGACGGGTCGGACGAGAGATGGAGTAGAGCGCATTTCCATTCGCGGCCATCACGGGCGTTATTGCGGAAAAGGCGGGGGGAAAGCATAACGTAACGCCCCCCACCCCGCTGTATGGTTCCGGCCCGGCACCACAGCGCCTGTGTGCATCACAGCAAGCAGTAGTGTGCAGCACAATATGCACCGCCGCAGCCGCGTGCACCACATTGTACTGCGCAGTGCGTACGTGCAGCACCACAATCTTTGTCCCCCCCACACACCCTCACTCGAACATTGTTCTGTGCTGGTGTTTGCTGGACGACGAGGGCGCCCGAGCGCCGGACGACGACGACGACAACGATAACGACGACGACCAGGACAAGGACGAGGACGAGGACGATGACGGGGACGGGGACCACAACGATGAGGACAAGGATGACGAGGATGACGAGGAGGACCAGGACGAGGACGACGACGACGAGGACAAGGACGACGACGACGAATACGACGACGGCGACGACGACGACGACGGACGCCTCTGAAGTGAAGATCTCCAGAGGTTTCCAGAGACCTACGGAAGTTTCCGGAGGCCTCTGGAGGCGTCTGGAGGTCCTTCCAGACTCTAGGCAACGACGACGAGAACGAGAACGACGAAGACGAGGACGAGGACGAGAATGAGGACGACGACGACGACAGGGACGAGACGAGGACAGGGATGAGGACGAGGACGACGATGACGACGACAATGACGAGGACAAGGACGAGGATGAAGACGACGACGAGGACGAGGACGAGGACGACGGCCGCCTCTGAAGGTCTCCTCGGAGGCGAGGTCTCTGGAGACCTCTGGAGGCGTCTGGAGGCCATTCGAAGCCATCGACGACGACAACGACAACGACGACGAGGACGAGGACGGAGACGACGACGACAATGAGGACGACGACAACGACGACGACGACGAGAACGACGACGACGAGGACGAGGACGGGGACGAGAACGAGGACGACGAGGACGACTACGACGACGACTAGGACGACGACGACGACGACGGCGACGACGGCGACGACGACGACGTCCACCTCTGGAGGAGTCTGGAGACCCTTCGAGGCCATCCGCGGACGACGACAACACGGACGAGGACCGAGGACGAGGACGACGACGACTAAAGCGACGACCACGACGAAGACACGCCTACGACGACGATGGCAACAACGACGACAACGACGACGACGATGACGACGACTCCAGCGACCTCGACGACGACGATGACGACGACGACGACAACGACGACGACCGAGATAACGACGATAACGACGACGACGATTGCGACGACGACGACGTCGACGACGAGGAAGGGGGCGAGGACGGGGACGACGAAGACGACGACGACGACGACGACGACGACGACGACGACTACGACGTCGACGACGACTACGACGACTACTACAACGACGACGACGATGAGTACGACGACGACGACGACGACGACGACGACGACGACGACGACGGCCGCCGCCTCTGAAGGTCCGCAGATGTCTCCCGAACTCTCTGGAGATCTCCGGAGGTCTCTGGCAGCGTCTACAGTCCCTGTGAGGCCCTGTAACACGACGACGAACGTTGAATGAGCCTGCAAGCACCACAGCAGCCTGCGAGCATCACAATGGCAGCGCCGGAGGCGCACTACGGGGGGGAGCGGGGGGGAGCGTTACATGATGTCGGGGGGAAGAGGGGGGCATTACGCGCTTCATGGTCCAGAGGGTTAAACAAAAAAACACGCTCGTAGTAAACGGGGGCGCTTGCGAAACAGCTCCCGCAGCTGGCTTTCCCAGCGCCGGGATCGGCCGTGCATCGAAGAACGCACACCGGAACCAGCTGCGTTTTCTCTACAGCAGACAAAAACGATAAGAAATTGTGCTACAAAAATATTGGGGCACATTCTTCGCCGATCTTTGAGGGACCTGAGGTGCCCCACAACTTCTGTGGGTCCCTGGTGCCATTGGATCGTCGGAAACTTCCGTGGTGCACCTGCTGGTAATCCGAATTCTCATTCATGTGAATCACCTACTGTACCCCCCTGTCGTCGGACCCGAGATGGAAGCGTCCTGGGCATAGTTTCTTCGAACCTCCACGTCTCGCCACCAGGTCGCGGTGTCCGACGCAGACTGGTCGAGAAGCTGGGCGCTGCTGGTGGCACCGACGCCCGACTGCTTGGCGCCCATATCCTTGGTCAGGTACTCGTGAACGCCCCATGGCCTCGGCACTTCTTGCTGCTCCTTTGAGGGGCGCCGATGAGGGGGGGACCTGCTCAGGGTGGTCGGGGGGTGTGGAAGAAACATCGACCCGGAATCGGCTATGCATCGCCGATAGATAGGCGACAGGCCCCCAATAGCGAAACCGCATGGTCCTGGGCGGGGTGGACTATCGGGCCCCTGTCGGCGATGCATGGGCAGTGGGGGTTCGATACGTTTTCCCCTGATCCTGGACATAACTATCCCCCCCGAAGTTGCCCCATGGCTCCTTCTGCCACCACTTCGCCACAAATTTCTCCGATCTCCCCAGGGACCTGGCGATGTCCGCCTTCGGTATCCCCTGCGCCCGGAGGTGGATGGCGCGGAGCCGGTCCTGGTACTCCTTGTGGCCCTGGGAGGAGTTCTGCTGGAACTTCCCCTCGCACTTGAAATGGGCCTCATCGAACTCCGTGACCTCTTCCTTGCCCCAGAACTGCGACCACCTGTGCGTCCGGTGAAGTTCAAGGAAAACCGCTCCGGACGGTCCCCGAAAAAGGGGAATCCTCAGCCTCAAGCTGGGTTCCTCAACGCCCACCTTGGGCTAAACCTGCACACTGCTTGGAGCAGGGCGAGTCGAGACAACGGCAGCGCAACATCGGTCCCCAGACCCCTCCCGCGTCCAAACGCACCAGTTTGCCGAGCTGCGCCCAGCCGCGGCGACGAGGGGGACTCCCGAAGGCCAACTACCGTTGTCGCAACTCACCCTCCACTGATCCACGCATTCCCGATCCTTGCCCCAGAACTGCGACCACCTGTACGTACGCACCACCTCGCCGCGCTCCGGCGCCGGCGCCGGCGCACCCCCCGCGGCGCTGCGGGCCTGGGGCCGGAAGCCGCGGCGGCCGACCCCCATGGCCTCGTCCAGCCGCGGGAGGGGCGGCATCTTGGCGGGGGCGCCGCGGCGGTCGGCCGCGGAGGGGGGGCCAGGAGGGCGCCAACTACACACACGCGGCCAGGCACATCCTGGGCCCAGGATCGGCGCAAATGCCCTCCTCGCTTGGCCAGGAAGCATATGCACTGATCCTGGGCACAGGAAGGGCCTGGTCAGGGTCAGCGCATGCGCTTCGTTGGCGCCCTCGTGGGCGGCTCTCTGGGGCTGCCACCTGGCCGCCGCCCCGCGGGGCGGGAGCGCGCACGCGCGCCTGGCGGCGGCCCGCGGGCGCCCTGAGCCAGGCAGGGCGGAGCCAGCTCGGACGTCTCTACCAAAGCCTCGGGGAGGCGCCCGCGGTGGGGGGCCCTCTGCGAGAGCAGCCAGCGAGGGCCTGCGAGGATGCCCGGAGGACCGCCTGCGAACTCCCCGCGGGGCTGCCCTGATCCCTCTCCCCCGCTGCAGGGGGGAGAACGATGGGGGGGGGGGCGAGTGGGGACTCTGCTCTCCTTCTGGCGGCCAGGACCGCAGGCACGAACGCGACGCGCAAAGGACACGCTTACTCGGGAGGAGGTCAGGAAAGGACGAGAAGCAAATGGGGGGATGTCAGAGAGACGAAGAAGGAGGAATGAGGAGACAAGACAAGGAGAAGGAGGAGCGAACGACGAGCTGAGGGAGGCGCTCGTCTCTTGTCATCAGCGCCTTCGCGGCCCCGCGCCGCCGACGAGGCGCGGAGGGGGCCTCAGGGCACGGCGAGGAGGCGGCGACGGCCGCTGCGTTCTTGTAGGAGTCCGTCTGAAGGAGGGGCACCCTGAAATCGATGGCGGAGTTCGGGTGGTCCTCATCATAGGGGTGGATCCCCGTGCAGTGGTAGATCGTGTTCGGCAGCCCGATGATCTCGCACTGCGCCCGCATGTAGTTGTAGGTCTTGAGAGCAACCGCGGGACGCGCGATCGCGTGGTCGATGTGGTAGTCTCCGGCCTTCTTGCCGTTGAACGCCACGCGCGTCAGGATGGAGCCCGCTGGCCCCTCGGCAAGCACAGGTGTGACCACATCCTCGGACTTCATGCAGTGGCTGATGTCGTCGACGTTGTGGGCGCTCTCTTTCTGTGAGCACCCGTGCGGGCAGGAGAGCTTGATGAGACGCACGTGCACGCGGTGGCTTGCGGCCCAGGCGCCCGCCAATTCCTCGAGGGTCGGCCGCAGCAGCGAAGGCGGGGATCGAGCAAGATGACCACGATGGACAAGCCGCCCCGCAGCGAGGACCTCTGGCCATTCGGCAAGACCGAGGGGCACGTGCCGAAGGACATGATCTTGGCCCCCACGCGCATTCCCAGGAAGCCAGCGGCCCCCATCAAGAGTCGGACCCTCACGTTCGAGCCAACGTCTGCGTGCTCGGTGCCCCGCAGCTTCTTCTTCGCGATCGCGCTGTGCAGCAGCAACATGCAGACGACAAGCGCGAGGACACTCCGAACGCTGCCACGCAAACTCGCAAATGCCCACCGCCATGTCACGGCGGGCGCCCAGGTTGCCGGTGTAGTCGTCAACGCGGAAGTTGGCGCTGAATTGAGGTCTGCGCAGAACTGCTGTCACGTACGGGACGCACCACTCCATCCAGTCATTGTAGTTGTGGTAGCCAGCGCACATGAAGATTGGCGGGATCCATCTCTCCGCCCAAGCCGCAGTGCGCTCGTGTAGGTAGCTCGTGGAGTTCGTGGCGGCGTCGGCGGTGCTGGAAGTTGCTGGGCGTTGGGTGGGTTCAGAAGGAGGCGGCGCATGTTGCCGTCGAGGCTGCTGGGATCTACACTGAGGAAGGAGGTCGAGGAGGCGGAAGTCCCAGCAGCGGATACCATGCTTGAAGACGCTGCAGGGTGGTCTTGTGGAAGCCGCCGCGGTAGAGGACACGTTCGAGTTCCCGTCGAAACGCTGGCTGTGGTGACGCGTGCGACTTCTTGCGTCTGTCATCGCCTTCTTGAGCACGCGCGGCCCTGTCCCGACCGCGATGCGAAATAGCCATGCGGCTGGCGTCAGCAGCTCGATAACGCGCTGCTGAGAGTGTAGCCGTAGCGCGGAATACTGCGCCGAGCGATCGCGAAAAGGTTTTGTGCATGGAGCCCTTGCCCGCGTGGGATAAGTTGCCTTTGGTTTTGAAGTCGAACCGCTGGATAATCGAGATCTCGTCGAGGCAGCAGTCAGCGCCCCACACGCCGTCCAGGACTTGCGCCAGTGGAAGTCGATCCTCAGCAAGTGCCCGATGCTCTTGTAGAAACCGAATCAGTGAATATCATCGTCGCCGCGCGCCATTGTTGACGCAAAATATGTTTCAACTCCCCGGGGGGTCCTCAGCGCCAGCCCATTTGTTCAAGGAGAACACGTCCATCTTGGCGAAGCTGGACGGCGCTGCGCGCAGGAGCGCGGATCTCTTTCGCGAGAACGTTGGGAGTGGGCGAGCAGAGTTGGCCTGTGCACGAGAGACAGGAGACTGCGGCGACGTTGCACAGCTTGATACTATGTTGGGGCGGCGCCCTGGATTCGCAAAGAATCTGGAGCCCCCCCCCCCCCCCCCACCATTTGCCAGCAAAGTTATTCCATTGAGAGTCAAGTGTCGCACCAGGTCCGATGAACGCCCCCAAGTAACGGGCGCGGCTCTTGATCTCGAAGTCCTTCCAGGGGAGGTGGACGTTGGGAAGGATGGTCCGGGCGCGCGTGGCGTGGGCTGGGGTTGGGAGCGACCATGCGGGCACCAGGATGCACTTCTTGGCTTGCAGGCGGGGGCCAGCGAATGGTCGCGCGGCTTGTAGATGCGGTAAAAGGTGTTCGATGTCACGGAGCGCGGCAAGAATGATGCCGCGGTCGTCGGCGCAGGCTGGTGAGATGACCTTTATGATGGGGGCGAAGATGAGCGCCCACAACGCGCCACTCAGAGGGCAGCCATGGGCGACGCCAGACACAGCGATGAGCTGCAGTCGCAGGCTACCACCCAGCCCCAAGACGGCGACGGGCAACTGGTAGCACGCGCGGAGCAGCGCGAGGGATTGACCGTTGATGCCCCAGCGCGAGATAATCTCCCAGACCAACGCGTGTTTGAGGCTGGGGAAGGCCGCCGCGATGTCCACGCTTGCAAAGCAGGGCATGCGAACATCAGCCTGCTCAGAGATGCTCGTCTGCCAAGCGATGAAGTTGACCGTGATGAGGTTGTTCAGGAACTGCCTGCCGTTGACGAACCCTTGCTGCTCTTCCGCGGTATCAGCTGCGAGCATGTGGAGCTCGCGATTGGCGGCGGCAACAATGAACTTCGCAACGCTGTTCTTCTTGGCGAGCGAGCGAAGACAGTCGGGGCTTCTGGTGCAATCGCAGTTGCAGGGTGGTTCGTCGCCTTCGGGCAGCATGGCCAGCAGCGCGCGAATGACGTCGCGGGGGATTCGGCCGCCAGCAGTCATGGAGGACATGAGCTCGTGGAGTGCGCTGATGCTGCCCGGCGAGTGAACCCGCGCCCGATATGGAAGCCGGTCGGGCCCTGAAGCAGACTCGCTCGCGAGCTGAGCTACGGCCTTTAGATCAGCGAGGCCAGGTATGATAAGTGTTCTCTGTGGTTGCAGAGGGAAGACTCCATCGAGATGCGTCTGCATGCTGAGGATCTCAAAATGTTTGGCGGGGAAGACCTTGCTCCATTGGCTCTGGATTGCCGCTGCGCGTGCTCACCGGATCCGTGACGACGCGGTTGGAGTTGCCTGTAGAGATGCGGATGCCCGCCAGAACAAGCCTCTTGGAGAAAGGCTTCAACAGCTCTCCGCGCGGGCCAGCTCGTCGGGGGCGATGTCGCCACGTGTTACCGAGCTGTATATTCTGCTCCGCTTGTGCGGCGCGCGAGCGGGCAGCAGCTTCTTGGCGGCGATGATTGGCAATGGCAAGGTGGGCGCTGTCGAACTCGGTCGTGAAGGAGCCAGGGTCTGCTATGATGATCTTGTTGCCATCATATCCGGATGCGTCGGCGGCCCGCATTGGCGTCGCGTTTGAGGAGAGACGCGAGCTTTAGGTCCGGGTAACAGACGGCCCTGGTCAAGGCTCTGGATTCGCAGCACACGAAAGGTTTGTCATCCTTGAGCTCGGAGACCGGGATCGCGATAGAGGGTCGCGAGCCTTGCGCGCCGCCAGCATCACGATGCGCTTCGTTGCGCGCCATTTGCCGATGGGATCAAAATCTGAGAAGTCGATCATGGCAGTGAAGCGCTCGAAATTGAACTTGTAGTGCCTGGGCTCGAAGAAGTAAACGGGTCTGCCGCGCTCCGCGGCTGGGCGCTGAGAACGCGGGCGTAGCCGTAGATGCAAAGTTTCGCGGTCGCTGATCGGTTGTCCCTGACGTTCAACGGGTCGACCGTCGACAGCGAGGTGCGTCTCGAGATGCAGGGTATTGTGCGCGTTCGTGGAGATGAAACACCGATAAATCGCGACCTCGGTCATATTGGAGCCGCAGCTGTGGGCGGCGGCCTAAGCAGCGACCTCAATCATCTGCGAGAAGATCCACTTCTAGAAGACAGGCTGGCACATGTATCTGGTGGCTGTCAAAGCGCCGGCAGGCTGCCGCAAGCTCTCCGGGGGGGGTCTCGGAGACGTTGAAGTCGCCGACCAAGACGAGATTGCGCGTGTCAGGATTGTCAGCTATGCGCTGGTGGGCGGCGTTCCATTCAATCTGAAACCGAGGGCGGTCCTGCCCAGAAAGCTCGCGGTTGTGAAAATTGAAGATCGAAGTCTCGCGAAAGCGTTCAGCGTCAAGAACGCGGAGCTCGGCGATGCGCTTTGGGACAATCGAAGTGAATTCACGCAGCGGGTGCTGGTCAGCAGGAAGTGCGAGCTCAGCTCTGTCGTAGGGCATGAGGAACGCAACTCCACCGCCCGTCTCGGGGATCCCGCCGCCGCCCTGGTAGGCGGAGTGGAACGCCATGTACGCGCGCGAGGAACTGTCGACCAGGCGCTGCATGTCCGCGCAGTTCCGGAGCGCCTCCTGGAGCGCAATGACAGCTCTTCTGCGCATGCATGGCATGGCGAGCGACGAGTAGCCGATCGTCCCAAGAACGCCTGAGTGTTCCAGGACACGACGTTGAGGCCGTCCGACCGTGGCTTCAAGAATCAGGGCGACCATCGCGCGGGATGCCAGCAGATGCAGCTGCGTCAGACCATGACTTTTTGTAGGGCATCAGGAGTGGCGCCAGGAGTGACTTGAACGACGGCAGCTCCGTTGACGGATAGATGGCCCCCGCTGCGGTGCGTGCGAAGGTCGACGTCGGGATGCTTGGCCTGGATGAGGTTGCTGGGCTTTTTGAACTGCGCGCGTTGCCGAGCCATGCGAGGGGACTTGTCTGCGGAAACATAGAGTGGGATCGCGCCGTTGCAGCTGTCGACTTGAAATCGCCGCCAGTTCCGTCCTTGTCTGAAAGCTCGATGAAGTGCTTGAGCTCTCGGAAGTGCCATGAGATCAGCACCTGTAAGGGTGAACGAGATGCGACGAGCAGGCCCCTCATTGTTGATGCGGAGAGCGTTGATGTCCACTTCTGCGGCCGCGAATGAGGACGCAAGGGCAGACTTGAGGGCGGCGGTGGAAAACTCGGATGCAGCGCCGCACTAGAACGTGGCAGCATGAGGAGCTCTGTCCCAGTTGCCGTTATCCAGCGATGGATGGAGTGCTTCAGCATGTTGCATGGCCCGCTTGATGCTTTCCATCAAAGCGTGGAGGTCAGCACTGAGGCGTTCAACACGGTCATCCCGTCGTTTGAGCTGAGCAACGTCCCGCTCTGCAGCCTTGGCGAACGCAGAACGTCTCGGTGGTCTTCGTGATAGTGGCCCGGAATTCCGCTTGCGCGGCGGCCGCGACCCGCTTGGAGGTGGCCTCAAAGGCAGCGGCGGCCTTGTCCACTGGGTCTTGTAGGAGGTCCTGTAGTTATTTCCGCTGGTGGGCGAAAATGACAGTGGCGGGAAGCTTGCGTGCACCAGCCTGCCAAGGGTCTTCATGATCGGCGCCTTTGCCTCCTCGTTTGTCTCCTTGAATGGCGGGCTGCATCATTGCGTCGTCTTGCGAGCCTGCGATGGCCATACCAGGCAGTCGCATCGCGCCCGACCCAGCACAGCGAAGCAGTGGCCCGCGCCACCCACATAATATCGCGCGTGAATTGGAGGTTGCTCGCAGACGAATGCGACAGCAACGGATATGAAGCTCACCGCTGCGGGCACAGTGGCGGTGAGGAACGGCGGTCCTAGCTGGCCCCGGGCCAAGGGCCTCCGTGTTCTCTCACGGGGGTGAAACATATTGACTCAAAAGGGCTACGGAACAAGGGGAATGAGGAGGAAGAGGAGGAGGAGGAGCAAGGAGGACGGAGGACGAGGAGGAGAGAGGAAGGATGATAATGGAATTGGGCATGGGTGAGGCCACTAATACAACAGTTTTAACTCTGACGAGGAACCGCCCAATATTATGTCATTCGCTTGATTGGTTTGGACAGAATGGTCGCGGCACAAATCCCACAAGCCCTCTGGGCGGAGGTGGTTTAGAGAGCCCGTTCTGTTGCATCCCCTTCCCCCCCTTCGGGGAGGGGTTTACACCGCCCCCTACCCCTTACCCCTGGGCCTGGAGGAGGGGGGGGGTGGCGCGGGTGGTTGGAGCGTCTGTTTTGGCCTAAAATGGCGCCAAGACAGCCCAAGAGAGCTCAAGATGACCTCCAAGATCGCTCAAGATAGCCCTCGATGACCCAAGATAGCTCCTAACAAGCTTACACGAGGCTCCAAGGCCGCCCCAAGAGGGCCCCAATTGGCGACGGAACCTCCCAAGAACGCCCCCGAGAGGCCAAAATCCTTCAACAACCTAGGGAATATCAATGTTGTTTGCTTTCTCGCCTTTTCGCGTTCAATGGGCTCTTGAGGCTTCAAGATGGCCACAAGATGGCCTAAGAGAGCCCCAAGACAGGCCCCAGAGAGGCCCAAGACGGGCCCAAGAGCGCCCAAGAGCGCCCCAAGAGGCGACGTGTCAGGTTCCGAAGGGGGGGGGGGGCGTAATTGGCGCCGCGCTCCTTTTTGAGCTGTGGCCGCCAAGATGGTCCCAGGGACCTCCTAGCCCCCCCAGAGAGCCCCAAGAGGGCCCCAAGACCCCCCAAAAGAGCTCCAAGGGTGCCCCAAGAGGCACCACGAGGACCCCCAAAGGGCCCAGAGACCTGCAACATAGCCCCCAGGAGCGACAAACCCAGAAACGCCTTCATGGTTGACTTCGTCGTCGTCGTCTTCGTCGTCATCATCGACGTCGTCGTCAACATCGTCGTCGTCGTCTTCGCCGTTGTCATAGTCGTCGCCGTCGTCGTCGTCGGGCACATCGTCGTTATCCTGGTCATCGCCATCGTCCTCCTCGTCGTCGCTATCCTCATCTCTCCGCACACCGCCTTCTCTTCCTCCTGCTCCGCCTCGTTCTTCTCCCACTGCCTCCACAAGAATGTATAAAAGAAAATAGGTAGGAGGTGGGCGGAAGAGGAGGAGATATGCGAGAGCAGGAGGAGACACGCCCGAAAGTCACGGCCGCCTTCGTGCGTCGCAAAATGTGCTGTTTTGGGATGGGCTGGTGAGGATACTGTTTTTGGTCCGCGGGCGCGCGAAGACGAGTCGTACGCCGAGCATGCTAGGGAGGGCCGCGCTCCTTAGCTAAGGGAAAAACATTGAGGCGAGCGGCATCCAGCGGGCGGAAGGGAAGTATAGCAGTACCGCCCGGCCCGCAGGCAGCCGCAAGCGGGCTGGTCAGGATACTTGTTTGATCGCAACAGCGGCGAAGAAAAGTCGGGCAGCGTCCAGGATACTACACACGAGCAACGGCCTAAATTAGCTACAAATTGAGAGCCCGATGTTGAAAAGGTGCCGACGACAGCCATCCGCGCACATGGGAAGAATTTTGTGCGCGTGGCGCCACAGCGACAGCCCAATTTGGGAGAACCGGTCGCCCCCCATCCGTGTGTAGCTGCTGAGCGCTGCGATGTTCGGGCACACTAGCCGCGAGGACGTCTCAAGTGGAGCGCCCGGCCCGCCCAAACGACACGTCTGGCAGTGCGTCGCGGATGAGTTGTCCATAGTGAGATGTCAGCCAGCGTGGGCCCCAAACAGTGTGTTCTAGCATATTGTGTGGTACGCTCCAGGTGTTGCAATCTATGTTGTGCAATCCATGTTGTGTAATCTATGTGGTTGGGTGATTGCGACGCGTGGCCACAAGCCGGCCGACCGGACCGACTCACAGGCCCAGTTCATTTTATGAGAGAGTAAGCAACCTTAAATGCAAACACTCATTGAGATGTTACCCAGCCTGGGCCCCAAACATTATGTTTCTAAAGATCGATGCTGTGCAATATGTGTGGAACAACCTTTGTTATGGAGTATATGTGGTGCAACCTATGAGGTGCAACTTGTATGGTGCAATATATGTGGCGCACAGCCTGGTGTAATCTAAGTGGTGCGCTCTATGTTGTGGCATCTATGTGGTGCAATATATATATATATATATATATATATATATGTATATATATATATGTATATATATATATACTAGAACCACGCGCGCGCTTCGCGCGCGCTTAGGGCCGTCTTGGGGCGGTCTTGGAGGCCTCTTGGGCCGTCTTGGACGCGGTGAAAGCCCAAGATGCGAACATGCGAAAAATATACGTTTTCCCATAGGAATGGCACGATTTTTGTTTTTTGGACCTCTTGGGGTGCCTCTCGGAACGTCTTCGGCTGATTTTGGAAGCCTGGGCTGATTTTGGAAGCTTTTTGGGCGCCTCTGGGTCGCGTTTTTGGAGCCTCCTGGGATATTGTTGGGCCGGAAGCTCGGAATTCGAGAGGGGCTTTCTCCGTCTGGGACCCCTCTCTCGTAGTCGTCTTGGGGTTATTCTGGGGCCGGTCTTTGGCGTCCTGAGCCCACACCGGCATTATCTTGGAGGCGCTCCCGGAGGCCTCCTAGGCCGGGTTCTTGGTAGGCATCTTGGGCCCGTCTTGGACGCGGTGAAAGCCCAAGATGCGAACATCGCGAACATTATACGTTTTCCCATAGGTAATGGCAACGATTTTGTTTCTTGGACCGGCGAGGAAGGTGCTCTCGGAAACGTGCTCGGGTGCTTTTGGGGCCGTTTGGCGCCTCTTGGCGGGCATTTTGGCGCCTCTGGAGCCTCTTGGGCGGTAGGATCGGAATTCGAGAGTGGCTTTCTCAGTCTGGGACCCCTCTCGAACTCGTCCTTGGGGCTCTCTTCGGCCGACTTGGGGCCGTCCTGGGACACTCGTGCGCAGCCTTGGAGCGCTCCCGGAGGCCTCGTAAACCGTCTTGGGCGCCTCTTGGGCCGTCTTGGACGCGGTGGAAACCCAAGAGGCGAACATGCGAAAAATATACGTTTTCCCATAGGAATGGCACGAATTTTGCTTCTTGGGCTCTCTTGGGCTGCCTTCGGAGGCGTCTTGGTGGCTTCTGGGCCTTTGGTGGTCATGGGACACGGCGTCGGGGAAGGCAAAATCTGGAGCCCTCGGAGCGCGTTTTCGAAAGCCGTCATGCGAACGATCTTGGACGGCGTCCGGCGGTCGACGAGCCTCCGGGCCCCCCGGATGTCCACAATTTGTGGTCGGAGGGAGTCCGGCACCGGGCCCACCGACCCGGTGCGCCGTTATTGTGTATATATATATATATATATACTAGAACCATCGCGCGCGCTTCGCGCGCGCTCAAGTTCTAGCCCAGGCCGGGGGGGCGCTGGAAGATCTTGGACAGCGCTATCAAGCACAGGCGCGTGACATAGTCGTGCCTCCTGGGGGCCTCTTGGCGACCTCCTGGGTCTTCGTGGGGACATCTGAAGGGCTTCTGGGGGGGTCCCCGTGCTTCCTCAATTAGCTAGCTGTTGGAAACACCTCTTGGGTGCTTCTTGGGGGGGCGTTTTGGGGCTTCTTAGGATCCCGTGGGACCATCGTCGGGATTCTCCGGGCAGTCGGAAAGTGATGTTCTGCAATCTGCAGCCGTCATTGGCCGTCTTGGCTGCGTGGGGGGGCCCGACTTGAGGGCGCCTGGGGCCACGCTGAGGCAATCTGGAAACGTCCTGGGGGCCTCCTGCAGGCAATTTTGATGCGTCGAGGGCGCCGTTGCGCAATCTTGGGGCCCCTTGTACGTCTCCTTGGGGCCTTTTGGGGCCACTTGGGAGGCTAATGGGGGCCTCGTCGGACCACTTGGGGACTCTTGGGGCGGGCCTCTTGGACCACTTGGGGACTTTTGGGGCCTTCTCTAGGCTTTTAGGGCGGAAGCTCTGCTGTTGGGTTCGCGTTCACATTCTTGGGCCTCTCTTGGGACCGTTTTGGGGCCCTCTCGGGCCGTCTTGGGCGCCTCAGGCACTGTATTGGGGCCTCGTGGGCCGTCTTGGGGCCCTCTTGGAAGTCTCTTCGGCTATCGTGGAACGGTCTTGGGGCCTCTTGGGCCGTCTTGGAGCGTCGGGATGTCAAAAGGCTGAAACGCTAAAGTGCATCAAAAACCAAAAAGGAAAATCCGTGATCTTGGCTTCTTGGGGCCCTTTTGGGGGTGCGGGCCATCCGGAGGCCATCTTGGGCGTGTCAGAACGTTAACTCCGCGATAGTAGGCCTCCTGGGGGCCTCTCTCATAGTATGCCTCCTGGAGGCCTTTCGCGGCCCTTTTCATCTGTGTTGAAGCTGTCTTGAGCGGTCCGGAAGCGTCCATGGCGCCCCGACACCCCCATGGCGCGTCGGGCCCCCCCCCGCCTCGGTGCGAGATCGAACACTGGAAGGTGAGGCGGCAACGTGCTCCGGCAGCGCGTTTCTGGAGCATGTTTGGGGGTCCTGGGTAGGCAGTTCTGAGGCCTCTCGGAGGCCGTTTTGGAGCCTCTGGTGGGCCGCCCAGGGCACTCTTGGAAGCCTCTTCGGCTATCTTGGAGCTGTCTTGGAGGCCTTTTCCTCCTCCTCGTCCCCCTCCTCCTCCTCCTCCTCCTCCTCCTCCTCCTCCTCCTCCTCCCACTCCAGCTCTCTCTCCTCCTGATCTTCCTCCTCTTCCTGCAGCGTGTTCTGGAAGGCTCCCGCCGGAACATGCTGTGCACAAGTGCTGTCACTGCTCCCGCCACCGTGCCCTGGGTGGTGGGTCAATGGCCTCATGGGTGTTGGTTTGGATCTCGTGGTTGGCCTGTCGGGGACGTCGCGAAGGCAGTTTCACAACTTCCTGGCAGCCGTTTTGGGACCGTTGTGGGGCCTCCTCGGAGCTGTTTTGTGGCCTCTGTAGGCCTCGTGTGGGCCTCCTGGGTGCCTCTTGGGGGCCTCCTGGGGCTTCTGGGGGCACTCTTCATTTGGGAGTCGTGGCCCCTTTCTTGGGCGCATCTTGGATCCGTCTTGGGGCTCTGTTGGCCTGTCTTGGGCGACTCTGGGGCCGTCTTGGGGCCCTCTTGGGCCGTCTTGGGGCGCTCTCGGGGGCCTATTGAGCCGTGTTGGAACGTCGGACAGCCGAAAAGGCTGGAAGGCCTAAATCGTTCGAGAACCTCGGTAAAATTGACGATTTCGGCCTCTTGAAGCGCTCTGGAGAGGCGTCTTGAAGCGTCGTGGAGGCCTCGTGTGGGCCTCCTGGGTGCATCTTGGGGGCCTCCTGGGCCTCTAGGGGCGCTCTTCAAGCGGGAGGGTCGAATTTGGGAGTCGTGGTCCCCCTCTTGGTCGCATCTTGGGGCCGTCTTGGGGCTCTGTTGGTTTGTCTTGGGCGACTCTGGGGCCGTCTTGGGGCCCTCTTGGGCCGTCTTGGGGCGCTCTTGAGGGCCTATTGAGCCGTCTTGGAACGTCGGACAGCCGAAAAGGCTGGAAGGCCAAAATCGTTCAAAACAATTGTACAATTGTCGATTTCGGCCTCTTGAAGCGCTCTGGAAAGGCGCATTGAAGCGTCGTGGAGTGCCTTGTGGAGCCTCTCCGGCCGTCTTGGGCCTATCTTGGGTGTCCTGGAGCGGTCTTTCGGCGACTCGGGGCCCGCTTGGGCCGTTTGGGAGCGTATGGAGGCCCTCCTGGACTATTTTGGACCTCCCTGGCCGCCCCGTCCTCCCACGGGGGGGTCGGAGGCGGCGGCCTCGGTGGCCCAGGACGCGGAAACCCTGTAAAAACAAAGGGAAAGTGAGCCCCGTGGCCCCCATGGGGGTCGGAGGCACCAATCTGGCGGCCCCAGGCCCCGTTCCCCGGTGTGTGTGTGTGTATATATATATACATATGTATATATATATATACACATACACACGCACTAGAACCATCGCGCGCGCGCGCTTCGCGCGCGCTTTGGTTCTAGCCGAAGTCAAGGACTAATCGAATCAAACTTCGTCGAAACGCGTCCGATAAAAGGTCGACGGAAGACTCGAACAAACATAACAGAGCTCGTCCTTAGCGCTCGCGCTGCTTAGCGTCTTTGGCGTTCGCGCTGCTCTCTGATTGATCGACTAAGGTCAATTCAAAAAGACCCCCTGGGGCCGAAAACCACCTCGTCAAACCTCGATCCTCGATTGGTCGGTCCTAGACCGGCGCCTGCGACGACGAGCACGACGACGGCGGAGGCGACGACGACGACGGCGGCGACGATGATGACGACGACGGCGGCGGCGCTGACGACGGCAAGGGCGACGACGACGACGACGGCGGCGCCGCCGCCGTCGCCGTCGAGGTCGTCGCCGTCCCTGCGCGGGGGGCGGGCCGCGGGGGGGTTTTTGGAGTCTCTTAGGGGCCTCTTGGGGGGATCTTCCCCTCCATAAACCCCCGCTGGGTTTGGCCTATTGGGGGGATCTCTTGGGGGCCTCTTGGAGCCTCTTATGGGGCCTCCAGGGGCCTCCTGGGACCTTCTTGGGGCGGAAGGGTCGGATTTTCGGGTCGGGCTCCCCCTCTTGGGCTCCTCTTGGAGCCGTCTTGGAGCTCTCCTAGGTCGTATTGGGGACCTCTTGGGGTGTCTTGGCCCCCTCCCGGGACGTCTTTGGAGCCTCTTGGGCCGCTTTGGGACTCGCTTGGGGGCCTCTTGTGCCGTCGTCACCGGCTCTCCTGCTGCGCCCGGGCCCTAGCTGGCGCGCGGGGGTCCTGCCGCCGGGGCTGCGGAATTGCTGGAGCGGAAGGCCTGCAGCGCGGCCAGCGGCACCTGGTCGGAGGGCGCCCATCTCTCTCTCTCTCTCTCTCTCTCTCTATCGAACCATTGGGCTCGCCGATTTCCCAGTGGAGGAACTCCAGAACATGGAGGAAACACGATGGGCTGGTATCTGGGGCTTTCGGGTTGGGCGGGGGTGGCCCGGCAACTTGTGGCAATGGGCGAGTCAGGCTGGTTCTTGTCCCAGCCCCCCGTGGCGGCGCGCACAAGGAGAGAGGGGGGAGGGGGGACAGCTTCTTAGGAGCCCGCGCCTTCACAGAAGCAGGGGTGCTTCTAAGAAACCCTCCCCCCTCCCCCTCCCCCTCCCCCTCCCTCCTCGTTTTTTATTTTATTTTATTTTCTCTCTCTCTCTCTCTCGACTCTCGCGTTTGTTTTCTCTCTCTCTCTCTCTCTCTCGAATACATGTAAGGACAACAGCACAACCCACCCCGACCTCGCCAGGACCCCCAACCCAGACCGGGTGATCCAGGGGGTCCTGGCTGTGTGTGTGTGCGTTGTTGTTGTTGTTGTTGTTGCCGTTGCCGTTGTTGTTGCTGTTGCCGTTGTTGTTGTTGTTGCTGCTGCTGTTGCTGTTGCTGTTGCTGTTGCTGTTGCAGTTGCTGTTGTTGTAGCTGTTGCTGTTGCTGCTGTTGCTGTTGTTGTTGCTGTTGTTGCTGTTGTTGTTGTTGCTGTTGATGTTGTTGTTGATTGTGACTTACTAAACAACTATTATAGTTGGACCCCTTATAAGCGCTCTGGCGCTCTCGCCGAGGCGCCGGCTACATTTTCATTGAAAATGAGGCTCACGCTCGAGCGGTTTGGGGGACCGCCAAAACCGGCCCCCCAACAACAACACTCCCGCTCGAGACTTCCTCCTTTTTTACTCAGGGCTGGTGTTCTTGCTCGCCGCCGAAAGCCGCCGTCCTAACAAAACCAGCGCTCCCGCTCGAGACCTCCTCCCGTTGTACCTTGGACAAGCGCGCTAGTCTTTCTCTCATCGGCGCCGCCCCCAGCAAAAACAACGCTCCCGCTCGAGTCTTCTTCCTGTTTTTACTCACTGCGGTGCTCCTCCTCGCCGCCGAAAACCGCCGCCCCGACAAAACCAGCGCTCCCGCCCGAGACTTCCTTCCGTTTTACGCTGGACTGGCGCCCAACTCTCTTTTGAATTGGCGCCGCTCCCAGCAAGAACAACGCTCCCGCTCTAGGCTTCCTCCCTTTTTCCTGAAGACGGTGCTGTTCGTCGCCGCCGACAACCCCCGTCCCGACAAAACCACGGCTCCCACAACACGATGTGTCCTCCCTTTCTTATTCAAGGCGGTGTTCCTCCTCCGCCGCCGAAAAAACCGCCGCCCGACAAAACCAAAGCATACAAAACCAAACCAACAAGACCACAACAACAAGCAGAAACACCCACCAAATACACAAACACAACCAACCAATACAATCAACATAAAATCAAAATACAAAACACGAGGTGCAGCACAACAAAAAATCAAGCCACACCAAAAAAAAACAACAACAAAAAACATCAAAAGACACACAGTAAACAAAGAATCAAACAAACACAAACCATCGCCCGACCCAGCGCTCCCGCCCGAGATTTCCCTCCGTTTCACGCTGGACTGGCGCCCGACTCTCTTTTTGAATTGGCGCCGCTCCCAACAAGAACATCGTTCCCGCTCGAGATATCCTTTCTTTTTCCTCGGGACGGTGCTGTTCCTCGCCGCCGACAGCCCCCGTCCCGACAAAACCACGGCTCCCGCTCGATGCTTCCTCCTTAGGCGGTGTTCCTCCTCGCCGCCGAAAACCGCCGCCCCGACAAAACCAGCGCTCCCGCCCGAGACTTCCTTCCGTTTTACGCTGGACTGGCGCCCAACTCTCTTTTGAATTGGCGCCGCTCCCAGCATTAACAGCAGCCCTGCTCGAGACTTCCTCCCTTTCTATTCAGGGCCAGGTCCTTGCCTCACCGCCGACAGCCCCCATCCCCACCAAGGCAATCCTGTCGTTCGATACGTCCTTGTGCTTTACCCTTCGCTGGGGTTCCACTGGGTTTCTCGCATCGGCGCAGCAAGGCGCGGGCATGTGTTTTCGAGGCGTGATATGTTGAAACTCCTCGGCAAGACCTCATTGGGCGGGAGATCTGGGAATGGAAATAACGGGCCCCGCTATAGAACAAGAGTCCCCCATGATGTGGATGGTTATCATGATGGTCGCATGCTTCGTGTGAGAACATCGCGCATGAGGATCACCTGATTGTTGTTGTTGCTGTTGCTGTTGCTGTTGCTGTTGTTGTTGTTGCTGCTGCTGTTGTTGTTGCTGCTGTTGTTGTTGTTGTTGCTGCTGCTGCTGGTGTTGTTGTTGTTGTCGTCGTCGTCGTCGTCGTCGTCGTCGTCGTCGTCGTCGTCGTCGTCGTCGTCGTCGTCGTGGTTGTTGTTGTTGTTGTTGAACATTATTTATTCTAAAGAATAATTATTGTTGGGCCCCCTGGTGCGCGCCCCCCTGCGCCGCCTAGGCCGCAGCTACATTTTCATCATTTTCGTGAGGAAGCCTCAGAAAAGAGGGTGTGTACAGGATCCGGTTGTTTTGTTGTAATCCGCTTTCCCTTGCAAAAAACAATAGAAAATGACATTTCTTGTTCTAATATAATCAAATTTCAAGAAATCCCTTGCAAAAAATAAGGTAAAGTGGACATTCGCGCGCGCAAGACGAAATCCTTCCAAAACCTTAGTGTTCGCAGCGATTTTAACATACAAACATCAAAAAAACCAATGGTTTTTCAACAAAAAATTGTCAAAATCTCATCCCGCGCGCTCTTGCGGATTCGTAGGAAACCCAACACTTTTTAAACATTTCTGTCAAACGGGCTTTTGCGAGCAACTTTTTCGAACTTCTGCAACAACGGTTGCGCACCTGCCAGGGCCATCATCCCCGTCAAATAATACCATGCGGGACACATTCGTTTTTTCTTCGCGCGCGCACGCCGTCGTCGTCGGCCGCGGGGCCCTGAATAGTAGCAACGGTCGTCCGCATGCCACGAAGTGAAGTGTCCGAACGTCATAGGGCGGGAAGCTGGGTGTGGGTGGTGGCGAAGAGTCGTTTGGAAATTTGGTAGAGCTTGAACCGGCCCCCCCACAAAGTGGGGGTATTGCCCGCCTCTATGAAAACCCTGGCACTGGTGAGAACGGAGTGTCCCCACGTGCTAGTAATTGTTGTTGTTGTTGTTGTTGTTGTTGTTGTTGTTGTTGTTGTTGTTGTTGATGTTGTTGTTGTTGTTGTTGTTGTTGTTGTTGTTGTTGTTGTTGTGTGTGTGCGTGTGTGTGTGTGTGTGTGTGCGTGTGTGTCTAGCAACCGCGACTCGCCGAGAGCGCTCCACAGATGCCCGGATCGCCCCGAACGGCTGGCCGCCGGAGGCCCGAGTTATGGCCGGAGGGATGGGGCGGAATGTTCCCTCGGTTTCGGCCTCCGGGAGGCCTCGCTGGGCCCCAGGACTGTAACCAAATGAAGCTGTCAAACAGTCCAGTGGGCGGGACCCTAGCGGGTTGGTCGGGCGGGTGGGACCCCAAAGGGCGGGTCGAGCAGGCGGGCCATCAGGCGGGCGGGCGGGCTTTCGCGCAATTCGGCGGGCGGGACCTGGACGGGCGGGTCGGGCGGGACCCTCACGGGCGGGACGGGCGGGCGGGCCATCAAGGCGAGCGACGCGTGGGCTTTCCAGCAGCCCAGCGGGCGGGACCCCGACGGGCCTGGTCGGGGGCGGGGCCTGGTCGGGGGCGGGGCCCGCACTGGCACCAGTCGTCCCACCTCGCGCGACGCTCTCCGCGAGACGACGGCCAAGAGCAGGGGGGGCACCCGAACGAAGGGGCCCGCTTCGCCGCGCACCACCGCCTCGCCGCCCTCGACCAGGCACACCAGGTAGGGCTTGTACTCCACCGGAGGGCCGTCGACCTCCGCCAAGTCCTTGGGAACCGCCGGCGGCGCATTGCGACTGGGGCTCTGTGCTGCCGTTCAGACAAACCGCATCGTTGGGGAATGCACACAGAGAGTAGCGCTTCGCGCTGCGCGCGGAGCGCGGCTACCTTCAAGCTCTCTCGCGCCGCGACGTGTGGAGGATGATGGCCCTCCGGCTCAGACCACCGCCTCACGCGGAAGACCGAAGACAACCAGGGTCGGCGGCGCGCCGAGGAGGGAATGAAGAGGGGGCGTGCCTTCTCAGAAGGTTCAGGAGGCTTCTGGATTGCTGAGGAGCTTTCTTTGCCTTCTCCACAACCACGAATGACTTTTCAGGGGACCGGAGGGCTTCCGAGAAGCCCCGCCGACTTCTAAGAAGGCCTACCCCCTCTCACTTTCCCCCTCGGCGCACCGGGACACGAACAAGGGAGCACACTGCATCGGGCAAGCGCACACGCGGCGCCAGTCAGCCTCGCAAGAGAAGCTTCAACCACTGATTTGGCAAATTTCTGCCCTCTGCTCTCGCCAGATCTCCGTTATATGCGCCAACCTGGTCATTAGAACATCCTGAAATCGTCGCGCGTCTTCCCTGACCAACGCACTATGGTTGTCTCCTCCTCCTCCTGTTCCCTGCTACTCGTGCTTCTCCTCCTCCTCGTCCACCTCCTCCTCCTCCTCGCCTTCAAGGCTGCGGGTGGTTCTGGGTCGAGCCCTGGCGACCTCGAAGTCCTCCTCCCGGCCAACACCAGGGGGAGGGAAAGAAAAGTCAAGATGTCAAGGAAGAAGAAGGAACGACCGAACGGCGGAGGACAGATCGCTGACCTCCTCCCCCTCCTCCTCCTCCTCCTGCTCCTCCTCCTGCCTCTCCTGCTCCTCCTCCTCTCTCCTCCTCTCCCTCCCCCCTCCCTCCTCCTCCTCCTCCGCCTCCTCCTTCTCCTCCTCCTCGCTCCTCCTCCTCCGCTCCGCTCCTCCTCCTCCTCCCCCTCCTTCCTCATCCCCCCCTCCCCTCCTCCTCCTCCTATCCTCCCTCCCCCTTCCCATTCCCCCCTCCTCCTCCTCCTCCTCCTCCTCCTCCGTTCCTTGTCCTTGTCCTTTTCCGTTTCCTCCCCCTCCTCCTCCTCCTCCTCCTCCTCCTCCTCCTCCTCCGCCTCCTCCTGGCACACCCCAGCGTTCGCTCTCGCTCTGCCCACCGATTGCCATGGGCTTGGGCGTCAACGCGATGGGCGCCCGCGGCCACGCCGCTCTCCACACGGTGGTGCCACCACTGGGGAGCTGCCCCCCCCCCCCCCCCCCCCCCTCCCCACCCCACCCCCCCCGCTTGCTTGTTTGAGCGCAAAGTCCTCCTCCTCCTCGTCGTCCTCCTCGTCGTCCTCCTCCTCCTCCCTCCTCCTCCCTCCTCCTCCCTCCTCCTCCCCTCCCCCTCCCTCCTCCCCCTTCCTCCTCCTCCTCCTCCCCCTTCCTCCACCTCCTCCTCCTCCTCCTCCTCCTCCTCCTCCTCCTCCTCCTCCTCCTACTCCTCCCTCTCCCTCTCCCTCTCCCTCTCCCTCCCTCCCCCTCCTCCTCGTCCTCCCCCCTTTTCACGCTGAGTCCTTTCCTCCTCGTGGTGCTGGGCAGACAGGAGCATTGACGCTTCGGATCCTCCCTCGTCCCCCCGCCCCCACCCCTCCTCCAAGAGAGAAGCGGAGAGGGCACACGCGGAGAGGGAGAGGGGGCGCCCCGGGAGGGGGGGGGCACCAGGGGAGAAGCATGCTGACAGGTGGTGCTCGTGCGATGGCACCGGGCCGCGCTGGCAGACAACCCGTCGTCAATCTCTCGTTGATCGATGGGTTGATCAATCCACGCCCCCACTGGGGTCCCAAAGCGTTACGGTGACGGGCCGTGCAGGGACCGCACACCATGTCAGGACCGCACCTTTTTCCAGGACCCTAAAGACCCCGCCGCCCGAGACCAGGGCTGAACCTAAGCCGTGTTTTGCTTTTTCGCTTTGTTGTTCGTTCTTCCTCATTTTGCCTTCGCTTCGCCTCGAATGCAACACAAAACGAGGAACAAAACGGCCCACGAGACGTGGCCAAAACACCGTTCAGGTCCAGCCCTGCCCGAGACATCCTCGGAGAACGACGCGAGTCCCAATATCCGCGCGGTCACCCCGAATTCCCACTGACTCACCACACGGTGTGGTCAACGCAGCGTTTGGGGCCCCCAAGGCCTGGGCGACCGTGCGCGATGGCACGCGCAGGCCGCCAAGGCGGCGCGTCGGGTGCAAGAGAGGACGCTTGCGCGCGGCCTCACGCGGACAACTTGCGCGAGCGTCCGCGCGATCGACTCAAGTTCAACTTCGTCGTCGTCGTCGTCGTCGTCGTCCTCCGCCTCCTCCACACGATGTGGCCACCGCAGCGACCCCCGACGAACATTGCCCCTGCGAGGTTCTCGATGTTCCTCGATGCGGCAGCGGGGCGAGGGGCGCCGAGAACCCCGCCCAGGGGTCAAACATCGGCGCCTGGGCCTCTCCTGGGGTGCGTTCTGGCCAGAGTTTCGAGGAGCCCAGTCGTGGCCTCGAGGCCGCCCCAGGACGGTCGAACATCTCTGGAAAGTGAACCTCGATCCTGGTTCCTCGATCCTCCTCGGGGCGACAGCCAGCGAGGGACCCCGAGACCCCAACCCGCCAGGGGGCCGCCGTGGCGGATGGAGGCATGGGGGGGATCGGTTGCTCGATCGATATGTTGACCAGTCGGTTGATCGAACAATGCTCGAAAACAACGTACGAAAGCTTTTGGTCGTCCCCATGACACCAAGTAGCGCGGCAAATCGCACGCAAAGCGGACATTATGCATCTCGCTCACATTGCGCTTTGGGCGCTATTGGTCGCTAGATGGCGTTATCTGAGCGCTATTCGGCGCTACTGGGCGCCATGGGGCGCTATTGAGCGCTGTTCGGCACTGATCGCCGATGTACACTCCATCTAAGACGAGCGGAAGCTTCTATGATCTACGATCTAACATTCGTTGACCGATCGGCTGATCGATCTGTGCCCTCGCCTTCGCAAGGGGGCCGCCGCGGCGGAGCGCGGCACTGTCAAGGCAATGAAACGAGGGCCGCGATGGGCTCAGGGGGGGCTCCGTCTTTCTGGCTGATCCTGAGACCTAAGGACCCAGGGCAGGGAACCCACTCGTGGCTGCAGCTCGCCGCGGCCAGGAAGGGCCCTCCGTGCTGAGGGATGGGGCCCTGAAGGCGAGGTGCCTCAAACGGTGTAAGTCCACCCCTTGCCATCGCTGGGACGTCCGTTCCCCGTGCATTTTTCGACGTCGTGCGTGCATTGCTGCTGCTAGGTGATCCAGGGTGCTACTCGGTGGTCCTCGCCGAGGAAACATGCACACGTCCGAGCGATGCCAAGACTCATGGATCCCTTCCTATAAGGGAGCCAAGGGACACAAATCCGCCGACCCTGTCGGCGAGTGGAAGACGCATCTCGGTGTCGTCGTCTTGCGTGGATCACCGTCGCCTTCGTCGTCGTCGTCGTCATCGTCGTCGCCCGAAATAAAAGGAAATCGAACACGAAACAGAAGGAAATCGTAGTCGTGGCGAAGCCTCTCCCTACCCTCCCCACCGGGGGGGGGGTGCCGGGTGTGGGTGGGGGGGTTTTGGGGGGGGGGGGGGGTGGGCGACCCTCTCCCCTCCCTCGTCCCTCTCCCCCTCCTCCTCCTCTTCCTCCTCCTCCTCCTCCTCTCTCCTCCTCCTCCTCCTCCTCCTCCTCCTCCTCCTCCTCCTCCCTCCTCCTCCTTCCTCCCCCTCCCTCCTCCTTCCTCCTCCTCCCCCCCTCCTCCTCGCCCCTCCTCCTCTCTTCCTCCTCCTCCTCCTCCTCCTCCTCCTCCTCCTCCTCCTCCTCCTCCTCCTCCTCCTCCTCCTCCTCCTCCCCCTCCTCCCTCTCTTCCTCCTCCTCCTCCTCCTCCTCCTCCCTCCTCCTCCTCCTCCTCCTCCCCTCTCCTCCTCTTCCTTCCCCCCTGCCCCCCTCCCCTCCTCCTCCTCCTCCTCCATCCTCCTCCGCCCTCCTGCATCCGCCTCCAAACCTCCTCCTCCCTCCTCCTCCTCCTCCTCCTCCTCCGCCTCCTCCCCCCTCCTCCCCCCTCCCCCCCCTCTCTCCTCCTCCTCCTCCTCCTCCTCCTCCTTCCTCCACTCCTCCCTCCTCCTCCTCCTCCTCCTCCTTCTCTTCCTCCACCTCCTCCTCTGTGTGAGGGGGGGGGGGACCGAAGGACCGAACCCACCCCCAAAGTGTCCGTAGGTAGACGTGATGAGGATGATGGAAGTTGTCCTCTTCACCCTCTGTGTACGAGTACCTGCATCCGAGCCGAAAGGGGCGATGGATATGAGCAAGATAGGAGGAAAGTAGGGGGATTCACACACACCCCCCGTCCCGATCCCGCCCGATGCCCACGCACAAAGGCGAAAGGCACCGAAGCGGGGATCGGGATAGGAGAGTGAATCTCTACTGAACTCCTGTCTGCAATCCACTGCTTCAGCCCAGGAAGGAAAGAAGGGACAGCCAAAACTCTGTCGTAAGGTTCGCACCCAACGGCGGCGCTAACCCGCAAACAAAGTTTTACAGCGCCTGCCGCCGAGATAGAACCCAGGACAGTGCTGTGGGCTGGAGAGAAGTGGAATGGAGAGACTGAGCTCTTATGACACCGACCCAAACGGTCGGTGCCCGAAGCAACACATGATATGAATGCAACGATGTGTGCAATGAGCCTGATCCAATCCAAAGCAAAACGCAAAACTTTGAGATATGAGGAGTAGAGTGCATGCGCAAGTTCCAAGAAAATCTTGTACGTCTTGCACCAGTAATGAAGAATCAAGTGTATTTATGCAATTATGCTTTTTCACATGTTTTTGCAATTGTGCATTTTCAACAGTACATGCTAGACAATCATCTTTGTGGCTCTTTAGGCCGTTTTGTCAAGACTGCAATCGATAATAAGGTTGTCACCTGCTCTACTATCGCGAAGCTAACGTCC